ACACCTGATGTGAGGCAACTCATCTCATGCATCATACAGTGCACAAATCAATCATAATTTGCATCAAAATGATATTTCAATGGAATCTCTTCTCACGTCTCACTGCATGTTCTCCCTGTTTAGGAAAGCAAACAAAAGCCAACCCATTTCTGCTTCAGGCTGATTTGTACGAATGGGTGGAAAAAAAAGAGATGGTAGATGCATTTATCAAATATGGCAATTTGCTTAATGGACTCTGACAAAGCCATTGGCGGTCTTTATTTAGATGCAGATGACTTCCTCCGTACTGGCTGCCTCTGTCACTCTTACCGCAGCCTGTCAGGGAAAAGAGAAGCTCCCTCCTGTTTCTACAGACTGACGATCATTACCACTATCTGCATATGAGACTGACTGACTGACTGACTGCCTGTCTGTCGACAGTCCCTCTCAACCCCCCTGGCTCTCACTATTTCCCCTTCACTCTGTATAAATTCTCTATTAATGCAGCAAAAAGAGAATAAACCGTCTCTCAGCTGGATTGCTCCATGTGTATGAAGGCACACAGTCATGGTTGTCATGATGTCAAAGAATAATAGAGAAAGTTGGCTGAGAGAAACACTGACAGGTCTAAAAATGTCTCTTTGTTTCATTTGGTCTAGCAGCATATCACGCAAAAGCATAGCTGCCACTCCTAAACACAGCCTGGTGAAATAGTTAGATGAAATAGTGTTTGTACTTGACATTATACACCATGAATTTTAACAAATATACCAGCAAAAATTAAGCTATTCTGTATTCAATTGCAGTATTGCTTATGGGATAGGTTTTAGGCCTGGAAGAGCTGATAAGCATTCAACCAGCATACTGAGAGCACAAGGCTTTCCTGCTATTAAAACCACTCACAGAGCAGTGTGTGTGTGTGTGTGTGTGTGTGTGTGTGTGTGTGTGTGTGTGTGTGTGTGTGTGTGTGTGTGTGATTTAATGTTGAGGCAACAGTGCCCTCTTGGAAAAAAAAACAATCATCAACTTCTGCAGTTGGATATTTTCTGTCTTATCACACAATTTTGTTAATTGATGGACCAAAGATCTTTTATACACAATTTGTGCACTTAATATCAGGTATAGCATTTGCAAACATGTTCAAAATGTGTCATTAATTAATAATTTAATCTTACTGGTGTCACAAGGGAAATTAAACTTATGTATGAAAACTTTTTAACACTAATAGAATCGGACATTTTCTTTTTCAACTGCTGATGTTCCATTATCACTTCCTTTAGCAATTATACATTAAGACATCTGTATTTTGAACTTGTATGTTGGCATTTTGTTTTACACTGCAGCAACCTACAGTAGCGACGATAGGTTGATCAATCATAGCTGATTGACAGATACTTAATCTATTTTGAATATCTTGGACTTTTGGTCTAACAACACAAGACATCTGAAGATGTTGCCTTTGGTTCTGTGATGGATATTTTTTCACTACTTTTTCGGTTTCGTAGACTAAAGGATTAATCTGTAATGAAAATCATGCAGCCCTACAGCATTCCCTGTAGTTGACAACAAGAAAAGACAAAACAAACTAAGATATTTTCTTTGTTTTGAACAATTCCGTGAAGGCACAACGCTACAAACCAACTGGGATTTCTTTACCATTTGTTTCTGAATAATTAGACTGAAGTCCTTTGGGTCTTAGCGTTGAGGATGGTAGGATAAAGCCTTTTGCAAAAGTAACACAACAACAAATAGAGTTCTTCTTTAATGAGGCTTAAATATGACTTCTGTGCTTAAGATGTGCTAATGGAGATTAATCTTCACTACTGTCATAGCTCCAAATCCTCTGTGTCTCTCACTGCAGAGGAGAGATTAGCAGCAATCCACCAGGGAGGGTGATAAGTGGTTCCTCAAGTCTACAGAGGGACTGAAGGCCTGCTGAAAGACTAGGAAATTACCTATTGTACCATCGAAACCTCTAACATTAACCAGCTTTACACAAAGACCTTCAAACCCTGTTGATCATATGGACTGTGGCAAATGGACCCTCTAGCATGAGCTTCTCAAGATTCAGTCGAGGGTCATTGGTGAAGTACTGTTGGATTTACACTTTTATTTGAAGTGTTTTGGTTTGATGGTTATGAAACACAATGTTTTGAGGCCAAAAATCTTTTTTTTCTTAAAAGCCTTTACTTTGAGACATCATTTAAGCAGACAAGTATACAGACGTTTGTCAGTAGCTGCATGAGGACCGTAAATGAGTCAGACATTATTTTGAAAACAATTTGCTTCCTCCTTTTGCTGGTTCATCCAGATCTTGAAGGATATCCATAACATAAATGACAACTCTAAGGATATGAATTCTCACCACTTATCTAGATATAGGCAGTATAAGTAACTTGTCTTATTATCCCCCAACAGTCTGCTCTCAGTGCATTCCCCTGGTACAAAACAATCGAGTTTCAGTTTTCAGGAGTATATCTGTTCGATGAACAATCAGCTACAGTGAGGCGGCAGCAGTCATTACTGATGACGATTGATGACACAAAGGCAAATATTTGATTTGTGCACATGGGACAAAAGCATCAAATCAATGTTTTTCATTGACTTGATGGAACAAAAGCAATCACTTCCATGCATCTCACTGATGAAAAGTAGCACAAAAACACACACAGTATTAGACTGAATGAATCTTATTTCTGTGGGCAAAGGTTGTGTCAGGACCTTGTCACTGCAGCCATGACGGAGGGGAGGTGATTGTTGTTCCCATCTGGCCGCATAATGAGCTTGGAGCGAGACACATGGTTACTAATAGAAACATGTCATACGGTACATACAGCACAGTGGGAGCAAAACAAATTGTGCAGCTGTTGTCGATAGCATAAAGAACCCTGCCATGTCTTTTTGAGTGTCTCATTTTGTGATTCTCTTTCTCACTCACTGTCACAGTGCACTGTGATTTGTCCTTTTACAAAATTGCTCTAATTGTGTGACTTGCTTTTTTGGGCATACTTTGTGAGGGAGGGGGCTGTGGAGCTGAACCACTTAAGTGCAGCAGTTCATTGATATTCATGTGGGAAGAGCATGCAAAAGTGGTCTGATCTCTTTAGAGGGCCTATTTCACTATTAATTTAAATGTTACAGTTGGAGGGAAGCTTCTTTGAGGTGTCAGCATAGCACAGTACGAGTAAGAAAGTATGAGTCTCACCACGAAAGAGAAGACATAAGCTACTACTTATTGTTAACACCTGATTCCATATACCACAGCTGCAGTTGTCGCAACACAAACTATCGTACATCATACAGTACTTTCTTTAGTAGGTGAAGAAGTGCAAGATTATAATGGTAATATGTTGTGGCCTTGGGCAATGCAACTGAGTCTGCTGTTTTGGTCTTTTAGTTTTCACAAACTCATAACAACAGGCACTTACATCCTATGTCAAGACTAGGCAGAGATAAGGGTGTCAGTCTGAGCAAAGACTGAAATAATTACTTTGGATTAGAGTCTACTGTGTGAATTGCAGGGAAGGTTTGTCATATATAAGGAGTAAGAGTAAAATGTACCTACAAGTAAAAAAAATTAAGTATAAGCGTAGCCAAGGCTCTGTTTTTTGAAGGGGGATTTGTCTCGAAAGCTCTTATAATTGTTTCAGTTGCCTATTGCACAAACAGTGAAGATTACTAAATAAAATTGTGTTCAAATGGGTAGTCCTGTGATTTAGTATTATGCTTCCAAAGTTTTAGATTTTAATTAGAGACAGATTTAAAAAGAATGCATCAATTTATGGTGGAATTTGTTAAGGAAAAAAAAATTCAGGCCCCTGATGATCCAGGATTCATTTTATGTTTGTTCTTTTTTTATTCTGAGTTGATCCATTCATGTACTATATGCCCTTTTCCATTTATACTATCCCCAGGCTTGGAAAACACCTTTTAAAATGTCAAGCTGTTTCTATGAGCATGGGAATCCTGGCTATAGTATATGAAATCTTAACTGCTCACATTTTAGCAAGATTTATCTGTTTATCGCCTCACTCACTTCAACTGTACTGTCTCCCTGCCTCCTGTGGTATTATGGAGAAAGAAATGATGAATTTTCCAATAAATAACTAAAATTAGGTGACTATCGTCCCATCGCTGCTTGTGATTACACTGAATTGAATAAATTAATTTCATAATTGTCGACCTAACTCACAAACTTTCCTTAATATCCTAAAAATGTTTTCTAATCTCAGATTGCACCAAAATGCCCTATGTTCATGTTGAAAACATCTATTATTTAACACTGACATGAGGCTATAATCTCTAAATGAATTCCAATTGATGAAATTAAAATTCAAATGTCCCCAGCTGTCAGCAAAACACATGTTGCCGTTCTTTTGACTGTCTTTTGACAGCTGCTATGCAATTGATACTGGATTAGCTTGTCTGGTGCTATTTTGGCTAGCTAGTAAGAGTTTATGTGTGGTTAGTTAGCAATCTAACGAACAAATAAATGCCTAACTTGGGTTAAGCGTTTATTTGTGATGGCTAAGGTTACGGTAAGGGGCTTGAGTGGGAATGCATTATGTGAGTCTCTTCACAGCTAAAGCAAGACAAGTAAATGTGTGTGTATGTGTGTATGTGTATAGCAGTGTAGCTCATGGGGGTAAAGTAAATGCAAGAATATCAGTCTGAGTCGAACAGGTGCAGGTAACTCACAGGTAAAAAAAATGTTCACACTGTTGCAGTAAGGACTTATATGCAGTGTATAATAAGGACCCGTGGTACTTGACAGGGTAGAAAAAGAGTTGTTGCTCCCACTATTAGCTAATTATGACATGTAGGACTTATTAAAAACCAATCGAACTGCTTTGCAAACAGAAAATAGGGCCTTTCTTGGCATGTAGACCTATTAACAGCGACATAACATACCATTTTACAAACTCAGGTCGATAGTCACAGAAAGCGGAAGGCGCCATTGCTTAGCAACCAGGGGCCAAACAAGCGCAAGCTGTATCTGAGGAGTTCTTTAACGTAGCGTATTAGCAACTCCGCATATTAGCACTTCAACTTATTCAAATTATGTTTAGTAGATCGCTTGCTGCTTGATTTTGAATATATAAATTTATTTTTGACGAATTAATCAAATGGCAGGCAAGAAGAAAGAAGCGAGTCTGCAGGTTGGACAGCAAAAACAGCATTGTTCCTGTACTGTTAGCAATAGTCTTCTCCAGCTTAACTATTTTAAGCTCTCCTTATGAAGCCCTAAGTTAATATTTATTCGGTTTTCTTGTCCAGGCGTCTATCACAAATCAAGAACAGTGGGAGGAGATGCTTGCAACCAAAGGTTTAACAGGTAAGATCTGAAGTTGATTTTTATGTCCTGTTGAAAATGAATACTTAGCACCACAACAATAAGTATGTGTCAAATACTGTTGTAACTTGTTAAAGAGAAAAAAAACTGTCTCTGTGTTTGAGCTCTGACATTATGATTGTAATTTATTGTATGCTGCTGCCCCTCTGTGTTCACTGGGATAACTGCATTTTCCTGCATAATCCTCCATTCTTCTCTCACTTCCTTTCTCTTCTCTCTCATACATAAACACATACCCTGTCTCATTCCTTCTAGTTGTGGATGTAAACCAGCAGTGGTGTGGTCCCTGTCGAGCTGTGGTTAGTCTGCTACGAAAAATAAAGAACGAACTGGGTGATGAACTATTACATTTTGCCACAGTAAGCCCTCAGTGAATTTGAAATTGAATAATTTAAATTGAAACCCAAATTCATTTGGAAGTACCCCTAAACTAGTATGTGTGTGTTTGTGTGTGGTCCAGGCCGAGGCAGACAGCATCGATGCTTTGGAGAAGTATCGAGGGAAATGTGAGCCCACTTTCCTCTTCCATGGGGTGAGTGTGTGCGTATATGCTGTATGTATGTGTATGTAAGTTTGTACAGAAAATCTGTGTTCAACGTTCTGTGTTCAAATCCTGGTGTAAAATTTCCTTATCTAGTTATTTCAATATCATTTTATAATACAACCGATAAATAACAGTATAGTTTTTCTGTATGAATCTGGTATGAATAAAATACTTACTGGCTCCTACTTCTACTTAGATATAGGTACCATGGAGTAAAATAAGACGACAAGGAACAAGGGAGTAGCATCTGGGCATTTCAGAGGAGATCAGGAGAAACAAATAATACTCTTAAGTACTTTTTGGAAAAACTGGGTATATATGTATATACTGCGAGACAGGACTGACTTTAGGGAACATGGGTGTTAATAACCATTTTCTCACTGTGAATTAAAAAGGGGAGAATAGTCACACATTATATTACAGCCTAGACACCTTTATATTACTCATATTGTTTCACTTATTAACTAACATTATTGTGGTGTGTTGAAGAAAATACAGTATAGAAAAGGGGCACTCAATTTACAGGTTTGCCTTCAGCTACTGTACCTACACCAGTGGAGCCAGTAAGTATTTTATTGGTACCTGATTCATACAACAGCATGCATTATAAAGTGTTATTTCCATATGCATCTGTTTATTTTTTGTGTATATTTGTTTTTTCCTTTTCATCCTGACTCTAATAATTCTCAGAGGCGCTAATAATGTAGGCCAAGAAACAGGGCCAGCTACAGTTGTGACCTCTCTGGTGGTGATGCAATATTCAGCAGATTATTTTATGTTTATTAATATCTCTCTATTATCAGAATTGTGTTTATTCTTGAGACTGTATTCATATCTTTTTGTGGTTGCGTTTTGTTTTTGTTTTTTTGTCTCTCTGTAGATTGCTTACATGCACCTTTGTAGTCAAAGCGTCTCTGTATCTCACTACAATTACGTTTAATTCAAAAATGGTTACAAAAACATAAGAAGGTCTTTGTGTTGGATGAACAGGGTGGGGAGCTGGTGGCTGTGTTGCGGGGGGCCAACGCTCCTCTGCTTCAAAAGATGATTGTAGAGGAACTGGCCAAGGAGAAGTCGGTCCTGGAGCAAGGTGCTGAACGCAAAGTGGTGAGCAGTAGGACACACACACGTTCACATACAGTTATCCAATCACACATACAGTATGTTCAATCAGTAACTAGTGTTATGATATGCTGTATCTCAGGCACAGACGGAAATTGTGCAATGAGTATGATTTGAAAATGTTAAAGTAAACTGTACAGACAGCCACACTCAGAGGGGAACATAAATCAATGTACACTACTAAGTTGCAGCCAAATCCTTTTGCTCTCTGATATAATTGGTAAAGGGACCCCCTATTTAAGTCATTTTTCGAGCAAAAATGGCAAACATTCTCTGGTTCCAGCTACTCAAATGTGTGCACATGTGCTGCTTTTCTTCATCTTACATGATAGTAACTGAATGTCATATCAATATGGATTTTGGAGTGTTGAGCTGGACAAAACATTCAATTTGTAGGTGTCACCTTGAGCTGCCGGGATGGCCATTCTTCACAGTTTTCTGACTGTTTTTACATCCAAGAATGAGAGATTAATTGATATTAAAATCAGCAGTAGCTGCAGCCGTAGTTCATTCATACAAGAGAGTATATATACAGGAGTTTATGGACAGCCATGTGTAGGGATCGGGTGTTTTTGATTAGTTTTGTTGTGTCTGTCAGGTTAAAGACGATGGTCTGGTGAACGATGAGAGGAAAGAAGAAGAGGAGGCGCCTCAGCAGTCAGAAAATGAAGAAAGCATAATCGGTACTATGGAAACAGAATAATAATAATAATAATAATAATCATATTTCCGGTCAACATTTTACTGTCAGTGTTGTTATTATTGTCATTACTGTGATTACCTTTGTCTGCCGGCAATTCTGTGTACCAAGCTGCTCTCTTCTCCTCTCTAGTTCATGCAAGTAAATCCTACACAGTTGCCATCATCAAACCAGATGCTGTTGCTCACGGCAAGGCAAATGAGATCATTATGAAGGTACACAGAGACTAACACTGCTCACACTCTGAGAAGACAAGATTGTCTCAAGCCTTCCTGCAAACATTATTTCATTATGCTGACATGACTCCCCTGGCTAGATTCAAGATGCTGGGTTTGAGATCCTGGCCCATGAGGAACGCACGCTGACCGAGGTTGAAGCTCAAGATTTTTACCAGCACAAGGCAGCAGAGGTATGGTGTAGAGAACTGAATGAAACAGAAGTAGAATTATAGAATAATGGTAAAAAAGGCACATATAATGCTATAATATATGTGATATATTGCATTATATATAGAATATATTCACTCATGGTTGTAACTTACTGCAGAAATTGGCATACCAGTCAGACTGCCGATGCCTTCAGTGTATGTTTGTGAGGTTAGTGTGGGCAATTTGAATTCTGAGTCAACATCCTAATGGGAGAGCAGTCATGACCAGTGCAAAAATCATTTCATTGAGTTTGCAATACATCACACATCCATCTGCATCTAGGCACAGAGCTCAAAATAGAGCTGCTGTGTAAGCAGCTTTTTTTATATTTTATTTTTTGCTTATTGCGCTGTTTGTGTTGAGACTACATGATTAGAAATTCAGAAATACAAAATATGTGTGGCTATGTAAAGCAGTTATGTTCATGAAATTATAAAATTGTACATGGTTTGTACTGTAGAATATTTTTTGTATCTGCCTTTTATAAAATAATTTATATTCATTTTCTTCTCTCCTTCTCTCTCTGTGAATGTACAGCCTCAAAAAAGGAGGTTAACTGGATTTTCTTCGTAACTTTGCAGTGTAAAACCTAGAACTCAAATCTGAAGCCCAGACTGACATAAAAGGGCCTGTTCCAAGTTCCATGTGTGCATTACATTAACATACTGTGTCTGTCTGATGATGGTTCGTAGGCTTGCTTTGAGGACTTGGTGCAGTTTATGTCCAGTGGTCCCTCCCATATTCTGGTACTGTCTGAGGCAGAGGGCTCCGCCAATGTTGTACCAGCATGGTGTGAGTTCATTGGCCCAGCAGACATAGAGGAAGCCAGGAGAGAAAAGCCAGAAAGGTTAGTTACTGGAAAGTATACATATACTCCATTTATAAAAACAGTTGAGAAGAAAAACCATAAAAAACTGTAAGATGCAGTATGATGAAATTATTATTCCTATGTCTTTGTAAAAACAAACATTTGTTTGTATAGACATGTATTTATGCTCTGTTGATCAGTGTGAAACAATTTCAGTCTAAAGTCTGGAAAAGAGAATAAACAGCACATTCTCGCCTGCTCCATCAGACACACCCAAACATTATGCTTCTCTCTGGTTGAGCACCAGCAGAGCAACCATCTGCTCTCCTCTCATTTCTCCCCCCTGGCTTCCTGCAGCTTGCGGGCACAATACGGCACACAGACACTGTTCAACGCAGTGCACGGTAGTGAGGACAGCGACCAGGCCAGCAGGGAGCTCGCCTTCTTCTTCCCCAACTTTAGGACGGCCTCAGTAACGGAGCAGGATGGGGAGGAAGACCATGTGGAGAGGACACTGGCTCTTATCCGGCCTGACATTGCCAGAGAGAACAGAGGTGGGGCCTGTGCCAAACACACAAACACAAGTGCACACGTGTGCGAGTACAGATACACATAAAGGTGGTTCATACTACTATAGTGGGACTGCTCCGTAATTCCTTTTGCAAAGGTGTTGAATGACAAGTGCAGTTGCATATTTGTTAATGTATCACTGCAGAAGAAATGATCACACTTTCATAATACAAGCAATATCTGTATTAATACTGCAGGTAACATAATTCATATCTGTGTTTCTGCAGAAGACATCCTGGCCCAAATCCACAAGTCAGGTTTCACAGTGGCCCTCCAAAGAGAGGTGATGTTGACAGAGGAGCAGGTCAGACAGTTTTACTTCCAACATGTTGACGCAGACTACTTCCCTGCTCTGCTAAGAAGCATGACCAGGTAATTGACACATGCTCCAAAATAATCTGAAGAGGAGTATGCTACTGCAAAGGTTTGTTCAACATGTGTATGTAATTTACAGTGGGCCTGTGCTAGCTTTGGCTCTAGCCAGAAGAGAGGCTGTCCATCACTGGAAGAACATCCTTGGTCCTTCTGATGTAAATAAAGCCAAAGAGGAGAGTCCTGCTTGGTGAGTGATCTGTGGTTCTGAGTCTGTTCATTCACACACTGAAATGATCCCAAAAAAGTCCTTTGGTGTAATTACCAATAGAAAAGCATTAGAGTTTTCACTGCTAATCCATCTGACAGTTTGTTAGAAACAGCTGTCATACCCTACTCCCTTTTTAATGTGTCACATTTTAAAGTTATTATACACAAATGTGTGATTAAAGAGAGGAAAGTCTTACCTCTTTGCACTGACATTCAACGATCACGGTTTTATTCTCGTCTCTCTCCACCTCCAATGCACCATGTTCACTCTACTTTCTTAAAAAAATATTAAAAATAAATAGCTTAATCGTACCTGTATTTTTGGCTTCTGTAACCCTCATCACTCAGTCTAAGGGCCCAGTTTTCTGTGGAGAATGAGCCAATCAACCAGCTACATGGCAGTGCAAGCCATGAAGAGGCAGAACGAGAGATCAACTTCTTCTTCCCTAAACAGCGGACACTGGCAGTGATCAAACCTGATGCCATGGAGGAACAGAGAGGTCTTTTCTGGTCATTTAGAACAATATGGAAATGTTCAAATTTACTTTTTGCTCATATAGACATGTAGACACATATTCTAATATATCTTCTATTCCCTCTATCAGAGAACATTTTGGAGGAGATCCATGCCAACGGTTTCTCTGTAACACAGCTGAAGGAAACGGTGCTGTCGAGGGAAATGGCTGAAGAGTTTTACAAAGAACACAGGGAGAAGCCTTTCTTCAGCCAGCTGGTGGAATTCATGTGTCGGTTAGTTTGTCCCCCGCACACAACCACAGGAGTGGGCCTCAGAGTGACCACAGCAGACCGGCCCCCATCCCTGTTGCTGCTGCAAGTTTTATCAGCACTTTTATCAGTAATCTTGGCAGCTTAGAATCAAGGCAGCCTTGGGCAAGTGGCTAGGAAGTCCATCTCAATTTCATACTTTGTTCCACCGCACATCTAGATTTTAGAGTTATCTTCCGCTCCGATTAGCCCCTTCACTTGGTTGTTACACAACTACTCGGACACAATGGGCAGAGAGATGGGTGCAGCTGGGCACTACAGCCAGGGAAACTACCTTTACTGTCACTATGCCTCAATATCAGCTCAGGTTTAGACTTAATTTTACTTTTATGTTTGTTTTTTTGGCATTTTCTGCCTTCATTAGAGTAAGAGATGACAGGAAATAAGAGGAGAGAGAAATGGGCAGTGACATGCAACAAAGGTCACCAGCAAGATGCACACCAGGGACGTTGCAGGTTGCAGTTTGCAGTTATTGGTTGGTTTTACTCGCTTGGCCACCAGGGAATCCCTGTTATAGCTGTATATTCTGACCATCGTATAATATTTTTCAAGTTTCTTTTCTTAGCTAAGGATACACTTTATATCTTACAAAGTATTTAAAACATCTCCCAGAAAGCACTGATTTTGAGACTTGGAGATCAGTTTAGAAAAATAATGTGTGTAGTGTAGTCTGGTATAGTCTAGAAATATAGTGATGCTGTGTGATGCTGTTGTTACATTTAACCTTGACATCTAAATAAAAATTGTTTGCCTCAGGGGGCCCTGTATGATGCTTGTCCTGAGTAAGGAAAATGCAGTGGAGGAGTGGAGGGCCATGATGGGCCCCACAGACCCTGACCAAGCTAAGGTGACATGCCCAAAGTCTCTGAGGGCCCGGTTTGCCTCCGACCTCCTCCACAACTCAGTCCACGGTGCCTCAAATGAGCAGCACGCAGAGGAAAAGATACGTTTTATCTTCGGTGACATCTGCTCAAATGCAGAGCTCACTGGTGATGGAGAGTCTGACAGAACCATTTCAGGTAATCATATGATGTGGATGACAGTCATTTCCATCTGTCATACCATCTGGTTTCATATAAATAACAATTTTGTTCTGATGTTTTTTTTTTTTTTATGTTTTGATGGCTTTTATAACCTGCTCCTGTTGGAAATGATATCTCTTTCAGGCATATTTTTATGGTTAAAATGGCAAATTCTTTACTTCAATCTTCAGCTTTAAATAATGATAAATTTCTTTCAGCAAAAGAGCAAGACAATTCTGCATATGAAAACACAGAAATATCAAGATCTCCAACTGAGGAAATGTCTGACAACCATCACCAACAACATGAAGGTATGCAAGGTATGTAAAAAGAGGGGTTTTTAGCTGTTTCAATTAAAGGCCATGATCCTTCAAAGTCTGTATTTCAAGACAGGTTCATATGTAGTATAGTCAGGTTCATATTCAAAGATGCATGAAGACATACACAGTTAGTATATGCCTTTGCACCCCTAACTATCCCACAATCCATTGTGCACGAGTCAGTTTGAACACAGGCAATCCTCATGTGTATTGTAAGGTACTGGTCATCAATCAACAGTAAATATATCACAAAAGAAAGACTGAACTGAAAAACCTCTGCAAGTTTTAAATAATGGAAACAAGGTATAAACTCCATCACTGGATATGTTGTTAATCACAGGACATTACAGAATAAAAGATAACTATAAATATTCACTGTTAACCTGGTCATCCGTTGCCATTTAACCATGCATGTGTTAAAATTGAATGTCACAAAATGTACTGAATCTTGTCCCAGGTTAATACTGATGCTTAACAAAACAGTGTCTAAACGAAATTTGTCAAGTGTCTTAGCCTTTGTTCTAAGGTGTACAGTTATTATAAATATTTATTTTTCTTTTATAAAGGAACATTTTATGAGCTAATTTATTCCCTCATTCTGGGAAAGGTGTACTGGTGTGGGTGGATTTTACTTTTATTTACTTTTTCTGTTAAAACAAAACACAACTCCGCCCACACCAGTATATCTTTCCTAGAATGGAGGGAATAAATTAGCTCCATAAAATGCTTCTTTATAAAAGAAAAATAGATATTTATAATAACCATGCACCTTATCTATGCAGCAATCGGGTGATGGATCCACTGAAAAATTCTGCACACACACAGAAAGTCTCGCCAAACTGAAACAGCAATTAGTGCAATATGTCCTGGGAACTGAGAGTAACTAACAAGTAGATACGTCTCTTTATCCAGATAGCCTCCATGAGCAAGAAGAGGTGTCTCCTGATTCAGTTATCTTAATAATGTCACCAACAGCAGCTGGAATGGAGATGCAACCTGCTCTTACAGCCTCTTGGTCTAGAGTGAAATGATCTGAAGAGTTGATCTAATCGTCCTCCTTTGTTTTGCAGGTGACCCGTAGTTCGAATCCTTGCAGTCCAGGAGAGAGTGATGATCCAGAACACTCAAACTGAATCAGCACACCTCATATTTTCTGTTTTATTATTGGCTCTTTCTGCAACGTTATGGCTACAACACAATGTCGTTCTATGAATGTAAACAACACAAATATATCTGACATTTCTACCTTTTATTGGTGGTATTTTGAGACCACATATTCCTGAGCCAGTGAAAAGGACTACTTGTAGACAGTGGAATGAGCTCTCTTAATACTGATCACGATCTTGGCTCGCAACTGCAGCTGTAGGGTACATGACTAAGAACAGGGTCATACACAACAAAACAGCTGATAATTTCAGTGTTCACAGAAGACTGCTGAAACCAGAAAAAAAAAAATAATTTCACTGTCTGTTCAATCTATCTTGGATTGTCTGCAATAAATGGTCGATATCGAAATTTTAACTTCTAAAGTGCTGTGACAATGAGAAAGAATGATTGGCCTCAAGTATTCTTGGATATTTTTCCTGTTGACAATGACAGGGTGGTTTCGTGATTGAAATTCTTGTGAGCTAGAGAAAACATGATGACCAGGAGTTCAGATGTCTCAGGCAGAAGTATTTAATGTAAGCTTGGCGCCGAGGAGAAAATGATGAGCAGTACACGGTCAGCATGTGAATCAGAGTATTGCCACATCAAGTTCTGAAAATATCTTGTCTGTATGGGTGTATATATTCCCAAGTCTCACATGGCTGCAACATCTCACCACACCTTAAGGTTAAACTTTTTCCTAAACATTCATGTGTGAGGATGCTATTGGTCACCAAAATCCAGTCATATGTTCTTACCTAACTAATATAACTAATTAATATTTATTTGTGTCTTGTCCTTTCCCCCCATTTAGCTTAACAACTAGATTTGAACAATATTTTATAGTCTGTGCTTTCTATCTATAAGACTCAGTACCCTGGCTACAGATGATAGCAGTGGCTCCATCTAGACACAAACAGTCATAATAGAAGCTAAACAAATATCTAACAATGTACTGTAAAGGTTGTTATGGCCTGAACAAGAGGAGCACTGGAGTGAGAAAAATCTCCCTCACAAGCTTAACAACTGAAGACAAATTGCTCTAGTGTTGAATTAGCCATGTGAATGTTGAGGATAACCACCTTAAACAGTGGGAAGAAGAGGTAAGTGAACCCTTTGGATTTACCTGCATTTATGTATACATCTGTCTCAGGATAATGGTCAGAGCTTATTATGAACACGATATATTTGAACTAATAACATTCAAATAATTGTATTGTTCTTGCCTATATTGAAAAAAGTATTCAAACATTCACAGAATAGGTTGGAAAAAGTATGTGAACCCCTCAGCTAATGATGTTAAAAAAAAAAGCTAACTGGAGTCCCGAGTTATAAAACCTGGAGTCCAATTAATGAAATCAGATTGGTGTGAGTTAGAGCTACTTGGTCTTAGAAAAAAAAAACAAACCCACACAAACACTTTAAGAGTTTGCTTTTCACAAGAAACTTCTGTGAACCATGCCTCAAAAAGAAGATCTCAAAAGACATGATCAAGAATTGTTGATTTGCATAAAGCTGAAAGGGTCACCTCAAGGGGTTTAGATATCCATCAGTCCACAGTCAAACAACTGCATCCAGTATATGAATGGAGATGATTCAGTTCTGTGGCTACTCTCCTTAGAAGTGGGCGCCCAGTTGAGATGACACCAAAGAAACAATGCAGGATGATCTATAACGTAAAAAGAAAAGTAAGAAATTTGTGCTGTTGATACAGCCAGTTATTATAATAAGGTCAGGTACAGGTTCCAGAAGGATTCTAGACAGAGCCTTGAGTCACATTTATTTATTTTCTTTAATTAACAAAAAAAAAAAATTAGTTTAATTCCTTCTATTTTACATTTGTCAAAACATTTAAAACATTATTTAAAGCACAAAACAAAATAAGTTCGCATCAGTCATGATAGGCTGAAAAAACAACTTAAAACCAAATTTTATTAAAATAATTTGTCCAAATAAAATTAATTTAAGTCATCTGCTGAAATAGTCCTTGATGCTCCCTCTCTTGGGGCTTTGACCAATCTTGGCGTGGTGTTGTGCAGAACTGTTTTCAGGCGGAGTGTCCTCCCAGTCGTTTGCAGCCTCCAGTAATATGGCTTCGTCTATGTCGTCTTCTGCTGTGAAAGATCTCTGGAACATCTCCATGATGCTCCTCTGGTTAGGGTCCTGAACAAATCCAAACAATCAGGTTCAAGACTGAATATATAGACATACAGTATGTTTGGTGTATGTATGTAAGCTCTGCTGTGAATGTGTGTCATCCATGTATGTGTGTAAGTGATATTTAACTACATTACGTATCATTTATTTATGTATATATGCACAATGTACCTTAGAGTGGAAGCTGGCGTTCATTGCGTTGTCTGAGAGGTTTGATTCAGACAGACCCACTTGCTCCAAGACATTCATTTTTTCCTGGATCATTGGCCTGGATCAATACATAAATAAATTATTATAATAGCTAGACATCAGTTTCTTGCAATATGCATGTTAGACACCACATTAACTTGACCCCTGTAGTTTCAGTTTTGGCTCATTGGCCAGCAGTACTGAGAGACTGATGAATACAGGGGGAAACAGTTTGAATGCCCCTGATAATCCATGTAGTTGGGTCATATGGGGATTGACACATACCACAGGTGATCATCAGCAGTTCCCTTAGCAACCAGGTAGTGAATGTTCACATTGTTGGTTTGTCCAATACGGTGCACCCTATCCTCTGCCTGAATGAGAACCTGCAGAAAGAAAAAACATTCTTCTTTAAAAGTAATGCAAAAAAGAAATGAAATTACATTTATTTTATTATACAATAATACATCATTACAAGGTTATAAATATATAATGGCTGACATGTTGGCAAAACATAACTGTCTTATGTAACCAGAAAATATATCAACTGGCATTGATCTAGAATTATATTTATGTCCACCTGAAGAGTATAAGTCCTCTTCACTTTCATTTGACTTCAGCTGAGGTCTCCTCCAACTCCAGAGAAAAATATCTGTCTTAAGCTGCTTAATGTTTTACTTTCCACACCAGCCACTGTAATATTCTCTGTCTGTGATTTGACATTGGCAGGTAGCTTAAAATATTTTTACCAGAGCTTCCTTGGCTGGAAACAGGTGCCTACAAGATTCAAATAAAGAATGTCTGACTCAACCTTACAATAAATACCATATATAGGCCTGAAAACCAAATAGGCTAAAAGAGATAGAGGTTGAGTTCGAACCAAAATTGAGTCCTAAATAGTAATAAACCGTGTCCCTAATAAAATAGTTACATTGAATGTGCAGTATTTTGTTGTGATAGCATGTCATGGCTTACCCCTGGGTTCCAGAAAAGCTCAGCAAAGATCACCAGGTCTGCAGCGTGCAGAGTCAGCCCCATGTTAGCTGCAGTGATGGAAAGTACAGCCACACAGGTCTGGGCCGAGTGCTGAAACTTCTCACACAGCTGCTGCCGCTCAGCCGATGGCGTGGTCCCGTCAATACGGATAAAACCGACGTTCTGTAAATGACAGGGGAGGCCATTTTAATTTCTTATCAACAATTATCCCTTAAAACATCTGCCAAGCCGAATGGTTCTAAGTGGCAGACCAGTACAAATCAACAAACTTTAAGACTTAACAACCCTGCCATTATAAAACTTACAATAATGATAAGTCATAGTGGTAATATTAAACTGAAATGTGCTCAGAGTTGCCCACACTTGTTCACTGCAGCCACTGATGGAGTTGACCCGAGAGCCGACTTCCCACAAAAGACTTCATCTCAGTCACATTCAAAAGTTAAATGCACACTTTTATGTCACAGTTGTATTCCTTGGCATCTGTAGCCTTGCGACAGTCTAACTTCTCTATGTCTTACTCACCTTTTTCCCTAGTTCGGAGGTGATATGATCCAGAACTAACTTGTGATGGGCGAACACTAGAAACTTCTCCCTCCCACACTCCAGCATGTCAGTGATGTACTCCCTGCCAGTGACAGAAACAACACAGCTCTCTACTATTTCAAAGCAGCACATTAAAATCCTCGGTCTTCATGTGAACTCCTCACATTATCTCGAATCCAGTTCAATGACAATGGTCTGACAAAAGATTGATTTCAATTTACATTTTAATATCACTACTCACCAAATCTAAGATGATTCGACTTAACTGATCCCCACCATTAAAGAGTCTGTACTTACATAATAGCTTGTAGCTTGGCTTCAGCTGTGTGGTTATAAAAGACGAGGAGGGCTTCCTTCTCTTCTGCTTTCTGAAATAGAAGAGATAAGGAACTACTCAAGATAAGAACTGACAGGAGGTTCTGTTTGATGATTTGATAAGACTGCCATTACTCTGAGGAGCAGTGTGATTATGCACAATCAAGCTCAGCAGCTCATACCTATCGGAGTATATGAACACTCTTAAAGTAATGCCCCTTGGAGTATTCTGGGTCGGTTTAAAAGCACTTTTGTGTGTTTGAGGCCTGAAAGGAGACCCTCATGTGCAGAGGACCGAACCAATACTTCTGACTTGGCACAAGGGTTCCTCAACCTTTTCTTACATGTGATGCCTTTTTAATGACACTGAATCCATTTTAAATAAAAATACTATTGTATTTCATTTCGAGGCAATAGGAGAACATGACAATGAGGGATTTATAGATTAAATGATAGACCTAAAACCTATATATTTTTATGTATTTATGTATTTAAAATACTGTACGTCATTATCATGGTATTTTGTATTCATGTAACTGATGTGAAATATCAATGCATCAGTCTTTAAAAGGAGCTATTTATAAGTTTTGCTATCGCTACATAGCCAACGTTAGCATTAACACCTGCTTACTTACCAGTCAAGAGGAAACATCGTGAGCTCAGAATCAAACTTCATTCCTTGCTTGCTTTACTTTACTTTTGTTCTTCTGCTGAAGTTAGCATGCTAACCAGCTAGTCCTGTCCCGGAAGGCCAGCCTCATCACTTTCCAAAACAAAGTCATTGTAGCATCCAGTCTGCCCTGAAGAACTAGTGCTGCTCAGAGAGCGTATTATAACCTCTTATCTTGTAAATGCAACAATGGCCAAAGCTGTTGCCAAGACTGGTAAGTAAACAGCTGTTAATGCTAACATTGGTTATGTAGCAATACCAGAACCTACAAATAGCTCCTTTAAAAAAATCTTTTGTGACTTCACATGGTGACCCCCCTCTTACCAGGTATCTATATGTACAGTGAACAGTTACTACGCTGTGAGGTTTGTATGGATTTCATCTGATTTATTAGTCTTCTCAAGTTTGTGTTTTCGATACATTTTATCTGAAAGTTTGAGTGTTAAATAATTCAAATGTGAAGAATATATCATTTTGAGCCAACTCTGAGGTTTAAAAAAAAATCTGGTAGAGATTATAAAAAAACTTTTGACATCTCAGTCCAACAGGATCTTACAGTTTTCTGTAATAATTGCAACAGAAATGACAGTGGCTTTTCTGAAAAACGGAGATACAACTTGCTGCATTTTTGAGGTCATGATGACATTTCTTGGAAATAAAGCATTGATTGATTGATTTTAAATAAATTCCTTAAAATGCAACATTGTAAATACCTGCAGATACTGTCTGTTTAGGGTTTTTGTGAATACTTATTTTTCAAAAACTTGATTTCTTTCTCGTTTTTCCAGGCAACTTCCTGAACTTACGTTGCGGTGTCCCTTGGCCAACAGTTTGGCAGCAGCTGACAGAGCAGCTTTCATGCGGTTGTTGATCCCATCTATGGTCACTGTCACAACCTTGCGCTGTTTAGCAGGAAGCTGGGACAGCACTTCGCACTTGAGACGGCGCAACATCAGACACTCCTCCAGTAACAGCCTCAACTCACCAAGGTTAGAGGAGCCTGAGTAGTCCCAGCCCCAAGTCATCTGGGGAGGATTGGAAAGAGAAAGTTGCAGAAGACAGGAATTAAGAAAATAATAGATGGGGGATAATAATGGGAAGGCAAGGAGACATGGACAGACAGGAGGTAAGGGTGACATTTGGCATAAAGGAATATACATAAAGGTTCATTTTTATCTTATACTAGGATTTGTTTTCATAAACTAGCAATAGGAACTGAAAAGCACAGATTCTAGACATAGAAATGAAACTGTGATTCTGTGATAAGATTTTTCCACAATCTTCAAAATTAGTCATCGTAGCCAAATTAGGAGGTAATTGACCTTTAAATCATGCAGCGTGCTCCCTGTTGAGCTAACTGAAATTAATTAAGGAGATGTAAGTAGCAACAGTGGAGCAAAAAAAAAAACCTGAATGGGAAAAAAAAAAAAAAAAAAAAAAAGGAGGATAAAATAAATTGATTTAGTACTCTTAACACCTAAAAACCCAGTTTAAAATCAGTTTTATTGTATACATTGTTCACCGACACACACTGGCTTTAAAGTGCACTTATTTACCTTTATAATCCTATTGTTCAGTACTTGTCAGCAGACCTGTCGAATTTTCACACCTGAATGCACATACCTGATTTCTCCTTCAGGGAACTGTAGACTAAACAATGTAAGCACTGCACATAAATACATTGCTTTGCTAATCCCTCAATTGAAGTCTTCTCTGTTCTCTGAGGTGTCGTGGAATTACAGGAATTATAGCTCAACAGCATTAAGCATCACATTTGAACAAATGAGACTGAGGCTACCTGTTTGGCATCGCAATAGCGAATCCCAAACTCATGTAAGCGAGGGAAGAGTGTAGGTCTGACAGCCAGAATCTGGGTGTAGAGCTCAGAGGGTCTGGACATGGCAGGGGTCCCAGATAGAAGAATTACTCTTTTTGCTGCCTGAGGATGGAAAAAACAACTCTGATCAGACCAATGCCTAGAGAGTCTAGGTGACAGAGCAAGAAATTAAACCCAACCAAGAGAAATTAAACCAAATCATGAGCCAAATGCTGCAATGTTTTGGCTTCTGGTTTGTTTTTGGATCTGTTTGCACTCAAAATTCCACAATATACTACATATATAAAACAATGATGTTTCTCTTAATAAAGTGACACAATGATAATCGTGCATTAGCACAGTGACCCCATCAGCATTTGTGGTCGATCTGCTGGATACTTGCATGGTGCAACAACTGTTTTACAGGATGTCTGAATTAAAATGTGAAACACTTCAGAGAGCGCACCCCTCTGCCAACAATGATCTATTCTAACTGTTCCACCACAATACAGGATATCAAGCCAGTCACTCAGAGGCTCAATCAGTAATACTGATCTTAGGAAGTTGACATTACAGCATTCTGCCTCTCAACCAATACCGACTGAAAATATATATAAAACTTCTCTAGTCTGATGTTAGTCAATTTGTAAAAAGGATGTATTTTAATGGGTTTAATGTTAATTTTAAATCAGTGGTGACACAACCCTGCTGTTTATATTTAAATGGACTGTCAATTTTCTTTCTTTAAATTTTGACAAGACAAAGTTTAGGTTAGTTAGTTAAAGTTAAAAAGACAAAGATAATTGTCTGATAGCAGAAATCCTAGATCTGGTTTGCCATGAAAATCTAATCAGTTGATGAGCTGGACCAACTGTCTGTCTGCCTGACAACTTTATATAAATCTTGGGCTTGCTCCAAAAGTTTTAATAAATTATCTGAATAATTTTCCTTGCAAAAACTGGAATACTCTGAAATCTGATTTGTGACCTAACGTAAAAAGAAACTTTTCTTGGCAACTTTTACCCAGCAAAGTTCTACCTAAGTGAAGCATCTGCTTCTGTGAACAGATTCACTCAGGTATACTGGGATCTGCTTCTTTGGACATTTTTGACATATCATGCTGAGAGCCAGGTTACACCACTAACAAGTAAAAACATTACTTCTTTGGCTTAGGTTGTAAAACTTTGAATCCAAACACCAATTTAGATGAAAAAGAAAAAAAGCACCTTTAGGAGAGGCAATGCTGCTCTACAACGAGCGGTCTTTATGTTCTTCAGAAAATGGGATTCATCCTGCACAGAATGACAAAAACACACTTTTTTACAACATCACAAAATTCAATCTAAAATCAATCAATTGATCACCTGACTGAGGTGAATAAAGATTAAGTAGCCATGTCTGAATAATACACAGTCCAATCACACACTGCTGACCATGATGAGAACATTGAAGGGGTTTCTTGGCTGCTGCTTTTCCATTCTGCTCAGCAGGTCATAGCTGATGATGTTGACCAAACCAGACCGCAGGTTGTCTTTGGCCTTCACCACCACATTGATGCTGTCAGGACTCAAGGAGGGGAGCCAGCGTGTGAAGGCCTACATACATGGAAAATACTCATGTCAGAGGTGCAGAGTGAAACAGAACTCCCCAGGTTAACACTATCGACTTTCAGGCCGTGCTTATGTCAATCTCTGAAATTTGTAATGAACGTCAAGGACAATCATTTTATGACTGACAGCTGGTTTGAATGTCACTTATCACTAATAATCCATCCTAACTGCTATAACAGTGTCTCCATTTATGAACAACCAATCGTGTGGTTTGGAAAAAATGTTCACTGTGGCCCAAATGACTCTGACAATTCACTTACATGCTCTCCATTGCCTGTCAACCTGGCTTAAGCTCACAAAGTTATAGCTCCCATGCTTTGCAGTAGATTTGGCCAAATGCTCAAGACTAACAGTGCAGATAAGAGCCAAGCCAGACAGACTAAGTGTCCTTTAATGGGACAACATCCTGTGACTAAACTCTGCTCTGTGATTCCAACTCCTGATTGGGGGACTGTATTTGATCCAAGATATCTATTTAGAGAACAGACTGTCTTGTCTTGTCAATAGACAGAAGGCAAAGCAAAGCTCTTCTGAAAATGTACTGTTAGTGCAGCCTGTTTATGCTGCTGCGAGTTAATCAGAGAATAGATGCTACAGTACATGAGACACACTTTCTGAAAAAACAGAAACCTGAGATGAACTCTGAAATTAGAAAGTATTGAAATTGTAGAAGGCAAACGGGGACAAACAAGCACTAACTTTTCAATGATCCCAAGTGTGGGAGGCGCCACAGTGGCTTTGTAGCATAAGACTTGTACCTGTCTGCTTATTTACTGTCTCCTTGTAAATAAAAGCCCAGAAAAGGGCTGAAAAAAGTGATGAAAAGTGTAAACAATAGAGCTCAAAAGATTGGGCTGACAAAAAAAATGAATCAATTAGCCATTTCAGTTTTCGAGTAAACATGTTGCCGATTCCCCTTTTTCAAATGTGAAGGATTCACTGCTTTTCTTTGTCATACGTGACAGTAAACTGAATATCTCTGTGTTTTGGATTGCTGGTACCATAAAACAACCATTTGAATACATCACCTTGGGCTTTCACCTTGCTCTCATAATGGGCATTTTTTATGTTGAGATATTACAGACAAAACAATGAATAAATTAATTGAGAAAATAATCAGCAAATTAATCATAATGAAAACAGTTGTTAGTTGTAATACTAGTAAACAATATATTTCAATCTTTAATGTCAGCAAAAGCAGATATCAGTGAGAGTGAATTCAACAAAGTCGTCAAATAAATAAGCTGTATTAGCATCTTTATCATAAATCAATGCTTTACAATTCAAGCTACACATCTGCAACCATGAGACAGGGAAATGGAAGCATGAAATTCAATACTACCATCTTCCCTACACTGAAGATAAAGTACCTAACAGTGCAAGTAGTCCGTGGGGAACAGTATTAACATTCCTCAAATGTGGAGAGCTTTAAGCAGAAACCAGCATTATAATGTGTAGGGCAGAGCTTTTGTCAGAGGAGACTAGAAGGATATCCTTTAGTTGGTGCCTGCTGACTTAATCCAGACTGATAATGACACCATTAAATGGAAACAAGTGACAAACTCCAACACCTACTGAGTAATGAGCTATTTTTCTTCTTGGCATAGAATTTGGGCTTCGTCTACGTCTCTGCAGTTGGTTGCTGAAGTAGCAGAAAATACTACAAATGCGAAAAAGCAATGGCAAAAAGTAATACCAGAGATTTCTTTGCTTGAACCAACAACAAGGTTGAACCGTTATCGCAAATAACACATGAGTATAAGATGGTCATGGTGGCGGAAAACACAGACTGGGAGGAGGATATGTCATGACTGATGAGACCTAATCAGAGAGCGAAGGTGGGTGTCTGCATCATCATTTCCAACAATTTCCATTTCTGCCCGTCCAGACTAAAATGCAACCCTGGAGTTTTCAAACTAAACTGGGGCCAGCAGCAGATCGAAAAGTCTCTGTTTTATGAGCCGGTCTACACGTAGAAAGCCATGCATTTCAAAACTAAAACCTGTTAGTGTAGATGTAGCCTTGGAGCAACAGAAACAGTGTTGACTGTAATTACCTCTGCCCAGGTGAATCGTACAGAGGAGGGAGCCACTACCAGTAAGGGCCACTCACTCCTGTAGTAGGCTGCTATGCAGATGGCCTGCACCGTCTTTCCCAGGCCCATATCATCAGCCAGGAGGAGGCGGCCTTGTTTAGACACTGCAAAACTACAGGGAGACAGGCAAATGCCAAAATGAAAAGCTACAGAGGGACAGTAAGTGGAAGTCACATTGATCAAACCCTTTTAATTGACAAATATGATATCACTGAAGAAGGGCACACAAATGTTAACTTATTATGATAAGCACCTCTTCATTTGCACAATACTGAGCAAATTACAGATGAATAGCTGTCTCCTGGTATTGAGTTATTGGCTACATCATGCAGAAAGAGCACTAATGGCTGTTCAAAAACGCCTACTTGACTCCCTTTCTCTGGAAGGGCATAAGGCTGCGGGTGAGCGAGGGGTCGATGCTGGAGAGGTCTACCTCAGGGATGTCTAAAGACCTGGCCTCAGTCCCGTCAAACCTGGCAGAGAAAGCCTGGATTACTGCCCTGGGCAGAGGCTCCACCTCCACTGCTGCTATCCCACCGAGGACATCCACTGGGTATGGAACACAGCACGGTCAGACAAGATGGCAAATGTAACAGAGACAAGCACAGAGATAAACCTGCTAAATAAAGCAAACGTTGTTACTCACTGAGTCTCTTGTAATCCTCAAGTGAAAAGCTCCACTTTCTTGTTTTCATGTCTGCCACACAAACAAAAAAATAACAAAAAGGTTCAGCACCAGAAGCCGTAAAATGTAAATACAACACAATGGAAAAAGGATATTAATCACATGAAGTCACTGTTACCATAGTTCTTTGTTGGCATTTGCTTAAACGCTGCGATGACATCGACATGGTAACCAACGTCAACCTCAAACTTTGTCTGAGACACCAGGATGCACTGGCCCTGCAAAATGGCTCCAGGTTTCTGCCAGCCGTTACACAGCTTCAACAGCGCCCCCAGTGCTGCACTGTTACGAGCTCGGCTGGTGGCTGCTGCAACGTCCACCGTTTCCATCCCCTCCAAAGGCCTCAAGGACACAGAGGCAATAGAGGCTGCCTCCTCCACTGATACCCAGACAAGATAAATACTCCTTTATGGACTGCCTTTAAATTAAGTTTACTTCTGAGAAAAAAATATGAGTGCAGGTTTACATAAATATTTCCCAAATGTACACACTTAGCTGTTGATAGTCCTCCAGGCTGAAGTTCCACATCTTTGTGGCTGGGTCTGAAACAGAGTAGAATACTTTGTCAACTTTATTATCCCACAAGACAGTACAGAGATTCAAATGATCATACAAAAGCAGACATATGGTGCAGAATAGTTACATTTTGGAGTCTGGTATTCAGGCTTAGAAAACTAACACTGCCAAGGCCAAAGATTTGTGTACCTATCATATTCAACAAAGGATAATTCTGAAGCTTTAGTCAGTAGATAGGAGTTGATATTGCTTTTACAGTATCTATTTAGCCTTGCAGGTTATCCTGATTATGTGCATAGATGCACTGTAGCAGTAAGGCTTGGTATTATTTGAAAATTACAATACCAGGTGCTTCAGAACACAATACAGTAAGTTAATACTCAACGATTGAGGTTTGATACTATTTTACACGTTCGCAGCAGAACCTACTTAAGCCACTGAGCTTTTTGTTCATTTGGTTTGAGTTGGAATTGTGAATGCAAAAGAAGAAAATTTAGCTATTTTTTGTATTTATGCATATGCCTTCATATAATATGTTGTCACATTAGTATGTCATATATATCAGTTTCCCACAGGTTGAAAATGTAGAGCAATCTGATACTGCAAAAAGCACTGAGCATCAAGAGTTTGATGCAAAACAACATAGTTACATTGGCAGATACTTACCATAGTTCTTGGAGGGGATGGATTTGAAAACAGCAATAAGCTCTGCATGGTAGCCCACCTCTACTCTGAAGCGGTCCTCTGCATGAGGTACACATTTTCCTCTCACAGAGATGGCAGGCTTTTTTGCAGGTACAGCATTCAAAGTCGAGGAGTTTGAGGGAAGCTGTGCGACAGAACTTTGGGCAGGTTTACTAGTTGCTTGCTTGTAGAATGAGCCAACTGCACCACCAGAGCTGCTGGAGGTCAGGTTAGGTTTGGGCTGAGCTGGTTTCACACCTGTGCTTCCTCCACTATACAAGATAGGGCTGCTCACATGTTGACTTCTTGACTGGGGAAGTGGGTCAATAACTTGTATCTATGAAGAAAGACAGTAAATTGCATTAGTAAAAACAATGAGCTGTACTTCATCCAAATAATAAATAATAAAACTAAAGCCCACCTGTCTAGAAGTAGAGTTACACAGGGTACTCTTGTTGATTTGGGTGCCACTACCAGATAATTGCTGGTGCTTTGATCCTTGCCTTTGATTGTCGAAGCTCTGTGACTGTTTTTGGGGCGGTGGAATAAACCGTTTAGGTGCAGAAACTGAGCTAGATGCGTCTCTGTGATGGGCGAAGGCAGCAGGATGCGGAGCAACACTCTGTTTAGGGGGAGGTATTTGTAGTGAAGTAGTGTTGAATCCTGCCGAGGTCTGATTGGTGCTGACAGTCTGTCCAAGTCTTTGAGCTCGTCTCTCTAAAGCCCTCTGCCTGTTCTCCTCAATCTTTCGCTGCTGCTCTGCAGTCAGCTGATTAGACATGCTGCTGTTTAACAGCTAAAGATAACTAGTTGAAATTCAGATGACTGCTAGTCACAGCTAGCCAATACGTCTAGTTACCTGCAAACAAGTGATCCATGGTGACCCACGTCAGAACAACTACGACGCTGAAACTTTGGAAACGCAGCAACTTACTGCACTGCTGCCTCCACTGCTAATGGCAGCAGCTAACTAGGCTAGCCTGGGCGTCAACAGTCAAACTTATCAACTAAATATATCGGTAGCGTCGCAGTGGTGGTAAACACGTGAGTATTCATTCGTGGACGGACTGAGGACCGACGCTGTGTTCTACAGACGGCAAAATGTAAAGCCCGTACGAAGTGTAGATCTAGTTATACGTTGGTTGTAAGCTTACTGGCGGATTCGGTTTCTACCGCGCAGGAAGTGACGTAGGAAAACAAGCAGGCACATGGAGGTGGCGGTTGTTTGGTGATGTCGACAGACAGTTGAAAAAGATAACCGTCAATATTAACAATAAACAACATTTAATGACATTTAATTTAAAACTTTAAATTCTACTTTGTTGTATAAGGGAAACCTTTGGCAGGTATATTTGATGTGTCGGCTTGAAAAAAAGAAGGCAAGCTAAATGAAGGTAAGGTAAACATGTAGTTAGCTGGATTTAACCTAATTTCAAACCTTTCTGTTTAAAGTTTAGCCCACTGTAAAGTCTGTTTATTTTTATTCAATAAGATACACCAGTGGTGGGATGTAATTAATCTACATATAACCCTTCCCAGGTAGGTAAAGCACATTGTTAAGTTAATGTTTTAGGAAACCTAATTGTACTTTTCGTGTCTGTTTCCATTTTGTACTACTTCATAGCCCAACTCTACCTCATTTCATAAGCAAATTACTCCACTACATTATTGAACAAACTATAGCCTGCAGCTATATGCATGATTTACATGAGTTGTATGATATTTGAATTGAAAAGAGGTAAATAAAACCCCTGCAGCAAACAGACATAAATATATATAAATATATCTATATCTATATATATATATATATATAACAAATAGAAAATGGTGTGTGGTTATTATAAACTATCTAGCTTAAAGTAGTAAGTTAGCTCCATGTCAACCAATAAAATGCAAGGGAAATGTGAGGGAGACATTTTTCTGCTGAACAAGTGCTTCACTTTGATACCTTAAGTACATTGTGCTCATAATACTTACTTTTACTTAGAGAGTAAGGTTTTGAATCAAGGATTGGAATACTTCTGCCACCACTGCTATCAGCCTACAATTCTAGTTTGTGTGAATGTTTTTATGTGAACTAATGATCAGCTGTCTTGGTTGGCTTATTAGGGTCCAAACCCCAAAAGGGTAGAACAAAAAACCTTGCCATGGGCAGGGCTTAACAGGAAATTGGCCATAACTCATTAAGGATTTGTCCAATCATCATCATAAATCAGGGTTTATGTTTTCAGGCTGTGTTTGGGAATAGGCCTCTCAAAACATGTTGAGCCCAACCCATAGGGGGTGCCAAAAATACCAAAAAAGTATGCCATCTAGTCTTACTCACTGTATGTAGACTGTAGGTATAGGCCTGCCATTGGACACCCATTCTAGGCAGCATTCTCCTCTCTTTCTGCTTACCGTGACTGTTGCCATTTTCAAAATCCCCTTCACTACAGAAAACAACAACAACCTCCATGCTAGCAACCTACATGCTGAAAATGGCAAATTTTGATGAAGATTTGGATTTATGCAATCACACAGTCGTCATATGTCTTTGCTGTTTTGTGAGGCATGTTCTTGTGTGGAATTAGCCAATGTTCCCCAGAAACAAGTTCCCCTCCAACACTATTTTGCAGGTGCACTGTCGCTGCATCCTGGGTTCAGCGCCATCCAAGATGATTGTGATAATGGTCACAGCCAGACTATCTGCTATGCAAGACTATCTGCCATCATATGCCATTGCTCAATTTGCCATGAGCTTGAATGAGATACACAATTCTATTATAAATGGGTAAGGTCAGTCATGACATATTGGTTCATAACTCAAGTTGTACTTATTGTACTTACTTATTGATGAAAATAGGCCCAAAAAGTTTTGTAATGTTGCACCATTTTATCATGAGTTTAATCAGTGCCATTGAGGTATATTTCAGGTCAAATCTGTCAAGGTTTTAATGACTTCATACCTCAGAGTTCCAGTTGACCTTCTGTTTCATTACAACTTATTGGTTAACATTTGTCAACTCCACATTTCTCAGCCCATCTCATACCAGCCACTTCATAGTGAGCTCATATTGTACACAATTTACACCATTTTCAAAGGCTAACTAGATCCATGATGCTATACCAACCAATTGAAGCATGAGTCTCATAAAGGTGAACTGCTGCCTACAATTGCTTAGCTTCATAATAGCACCTTCTATTACATTACACCTATTCTCTTTTCATAAGCCATTAAGCCATAAGTCATTTACTCCAGTCAAGGTATTTACATGTTTGCTTTACTTGCTAATTATTTTTGGAGGAAAATATTAGTGAACAGCACTGAAATATATTTTTTTATCGATGAGCTCTCCGATGCATTTATGATATAGTAGAAAAGATAAGATGTTATTTAGTCCATGGACACTTTGTTGAATTTAACATTTTTTGCATACTCTGGTTTCACTCCTTTTGTCAAACAGAATTAAACTATGTGAATTTGCTCAGCTTTGTCAAGCCTGAAACCCACTTGTTTCTGCTTCCAGCTTTAATTTTGGGCGATTGAGGTGCCTTGTTCTGTTGAACCCGCAAATTGCCACTTAAGGCTAGCTGTTTAATCAGGCACTACTTTACACCTGAGATGGCATAAGCAATCACTGGTAATTGCCTGCCAGAATAGAAAACCAGCAGGAGTGAAAGATACAAGTTTAATCTCTCAGTTCACTGTTGGCAATCCATTAAATGCACATCCTGTGGCCACTAGACTGACCACAGTCTTATATAAATTCTGACAAAAAAACAAACATGTTTCTGCCGGCAGAGTGAGTCCAGCCACAGGTGTGTTCATTTCAATTATTCAATCAAGCTACACAGAGCTGCCCTGACTAGCCAGTAAATTGCTCTCCCTTGTATCTGTCTTTTCTTTCCAGCTTTGCCAAATTGTTCATTCTTACCCTTTTCTATTTATGAAATGTCTCCAAAGCCAGCATCATTCATCAGTGGTGGAAATGAACTACTACTTAATAACTTTACTTAAGTACTGATACTTTACTGGAGAATGTGCTACTTTATACTTATACTCCACTAGATTCCAGGGAAATATTGTAATTTTTGCTTCACTGCATTCATCTGACAACTATAGTCACTAATTACTTTTCTCCAGATTCGAATGAATAATTGAAACATATTATCATGTTATATAATATGATACATTGTTATCAGATATTTAATATAGTCTATAATAGTTAGAATTGGGTCTATACTGATACTAAAACACTGCTCACATGTTAATGCATTAATAATAATGATAATACAACAAATTATATAGTACTAAGAAATTTTCAAGTACATTTTAGATAAGTACTTTTACTGAAGTAAAATTTTGTTTGCAAGGCTTTTACATTTTTGCATTGCTCGATTTTTGGTGCTGAAATTGACTAAGATTAGAAAAATAATAAAAACAACAATGTAATTTATCCATTTGTTGTTTGTCATGTTTTATGCAAAGCTGTCAGAAAATCTCTGCATGCTTTCTGTTGCTCAAATGTATTTCTGGATTTCATAGTCTTTTATGTTAGTAAACTGAGTATCAAAACAAGCAATCTGAATAAGCCAACATGGGCTTTGAGAAGTTCTGATAGTGACCGCTACTTTTACTTCTCTCATTGGGTTTGAACACTGTTTAATTTAATGTTCTTTTTTTATGTTGACAAAAATTTTTGGTGGCTATCTAAATTGAATCTAGCCTGCGTTTTTCTCCTTTAGACATGAATATTTTCAAGCTTTCAGCCACTTTCAACTTATCTAAAATTTGTGTTGAGCAAAAGGACACCATTTGGTGGAGCTGAATAATTTGTGTTTGCCTTGTGTTGCCTGATAATTGAATTGCTCTATTATTGATAATAACGGCTACAACTTTTTTATTCTATTTTCTGCTGTCTGTCTGAATGATGAAAGGCTAAACATCTCATCCTTTGGAAAAAAAAGAGGGGGAAAAAAACATTAATGACACCTTAAACTAAACGTGTCCCTCTATAATGATGGATGTCTGACCTACAACAGGCAATCAACCAATTCCTTGTGTATTTGTCTCAGTCCACAGTTGTAGTAATGAGTTGGCTGCTTGCATCACTGTGCGGTGGTGACGTGTGGCGTCTGGGAGCTGTCCCAGGAATCATGGTGCTGAAGCTGCAGCACCGATTCAGCAGCCAATGATCGCAGGAGGATCCGGGGCTACGGATGCTTTCACCCAGAGCAGGACAGTCCGACAATCGTGTTGGATTTTTAACCGAGGGATGTAAACCCATCGGCTTTGTTCCTCGGACATGGGAATTCCATAATTTGGGGATGTAAGCTTCGCTCAGACTTGCCAGGGACCTGCAGTCTGTCTGGAATTCTGCGAAGAAAAAAAATCCTGAAACTGTGAGTCGTTAGAAAACGGTGTAGTTCGCCAGGTAAGACAGATTTCGCTTCCTAACATGGCACGCCATCGACTGACTTGATTTGCCTTGAAAGCCTTACAAGACGTCGACAGTAATCTGAGCTCTGCTAATTTAAAAATTTGGCTTTGATTGTTGTTGGAATATTTGAATTTTAAGATTGAACGCTGACATTTCGTTTTATAGTCTATTTCAGTCAATTGTACCAAAAGGCAGATTTGATTCTTGGTTTCTGCACTCGTGAATCTGGAGGGAGAAGCTTGTCTAGATAGTTTATGTTGTACAGAGCAGGCAGACTATTAAGGCCATGAAATGACAGTGGACACTGAGTGAACGGGCCATAGCCTTATTACTTGGATGCATATTCCTATCAATCTAACATTTGACTTTCCTCTTTTAGCTGTTCCATTTATTGAACTTAATGGCTTCAGACACTTGTTTGCATCGATGGGATTTATTTGCCTTTTGGATTTACATCCTCGTGGGAAGACAATAAAAGGCATTCAGTTAAAACATAAGAAAACTAAAAGGGTTCTTTAAACCCCAACACACGCTGGAAAACGCACCCCTGCACACGCTATCCCATCTCACCACATATGAAGAAGTGTTTGCTTATGACGGGGACACATACTGTAAAAGCTGTTTTCTTCCAGCACCTTTGCATGGTGCTGTGAGTTTCTGGCCGGAGACAGCTTGATGCTGCGCAGCCAGGGCATGCTGAAGAGCCGCTGTTGCGTCTTGCTCGGTGACCTGAGGGTGCTCCTTCTCGGGCCACCGGCACCGCCGACACCGCTGCCTCCGCTGACCCCCATGAGCGGCCAAACTACGGAAAGCCATGAGACAGGCGTCACCGTCCCCGACAACAACAACACGTTAACGCGGAGCCACCAGCAAGCAGAGGACCGGACTGCCTTACCTGCGGCAGGAGCCACCGGGCCACCGGGCGGAGAGCGACCGGTGGCGGGCTGGGTTGATGCTGCAGAGCTGTCGGCGGCCCTGCGCGGCTGCAGCAGCTCCTCTGATGATTGCTCAAAGGGCAAACTGGAGGAGAGGTTCTCCCTCACCAGCTACACGGAAAGTGGCTTCAGGACGCCCGTGTGCAGGATCTGCTTCCAGGGACCAGAACATGTAAGTCAATGAAAAATGGTCCTCAAAATGTTACAATAAAATATTTATGTCATAGGAAGTATTCATCCAACCCATTAATCATTTAGTCTACTCTCCCATGCATTTCTCTAGGTTAATCTGAAAATCTGTTGGTGTTGAGTTTGGTTTGAATGAACTCTCCAACTACCCCCACCCCCACCCCACCCCCCTCACAAAGACCATAGGGTAACAAATTACCAGCTGATGGCAATGTTGTACATTTAGATCTAGGACCCCCCCCCCCCCCTATATTGCAGGCTTTACTGGTCAAGCTTCTTTTCCAGTGAGAGCATCCACTCCATGTTTCTTCTTAAGGCGGCCAAACAGCTGGAGAACCCTCTGAGCAAGGATCCCACTGCATCCTGCTCTCATTCCCTTCTGTTCTGTGCACATAAGAAATATCTGGTAAATTCCAGCGTCCCCCCCCCCATATGCAGGCTTTACTGGTCAAGCTTATTTTCCACTGAGAGCATCCACTGCATGTTTCTTGTTAAGGCGGCCAAACAGCTGGAGAACCCTCTGAGCAAGGATCCCACTGCATCCTGCTCTCATCCCCTTGCGTGGCTTGAAAAGACAGCCATAGCTAGCAGTGGGAGGATAATGAAAGACCTTGTCTCCGTGGTTGACAAGTGTGGAGGATACACAGAAATGTAGTAACAACTCATTATATCCAAACACTGTGAATTCATATTGAATCATTACATGCATGAAAAAATCAAATAATACCTCTCACTCTGCTGCACTACCTGGAAAAAGCAAAAAATAATAATTATGTGCACAGAACAGAAGGGAAGCACCTTAAAGTTAATCACACTGCATGCCTTCGCTTTTTGGGCCATATTGATGATAATGTCACACTACATCAATCAGGAGAGGAGAAATGTGAACAAAGATGACTAGGGTGTGCCGCAATAAATAACATTAAATTATAACACAGAAGCAGGCACTTAACGATTTGCAGACATTAGTTACACTGTTTGACAGAGCCTTTGAGACCACATTGACAAATATGTCACACCTCGCCAATTGCAATGGAGGAAGGGAGGTTATAAAAGAAAATGTGAGGCAAGACAACTGAGGTGTAGAACATAACTTTATATCCGGCAGTCTGCACTCACAGTTGCCTTCGCTTTACCCAAGCAGCAGATTCAGTGTATCATTTCATGGTCATTGCACTGTGTATGGCCTATAATCTCTCTATGTTTCATCAACTAATTACTCCAACAGCAATTCTGTGCATCTTTCCACCTCTGCTCTCAGACTTTGTAATTATTACTGACATGGGGTCTAGTTATGAGATTGGAAGACAAGGCTTCATCCTTGTTTTTTTTTTTTCTCAAAACTCCACAGATAGTCAGCACACTCTGCAGTGCATACAAAGTACCGCTCTCAGAATTCGCAGTATTTCCCATGGTCTCCTCCAGCTCATCTCATCAATGCTTCCTGGAGACATTGCAGCTAGTCAATAGCATTTGATTTCATGCCATCCTATCATTATGCAAGTTCTTATCTATCACCGGCCTTCCTCTCCCTGTCGTCTCTTGCTGTTGGTTTGGGTGAAGTCCAGATATGGATCTGCTGAGGTGTAAATGGGTATAAGGAGAATGAGGCTCCATTTGAAAAGAGCGATGAGTGGACTGTGTCACTGTGTGATACAGGCAGTGGGGACATTAGTTATCCTCTATTCTCCCTTAGCCTCCAGCATGTCACATAGACCAAGGTAGCCAGTATCTGATCTGACAATCTACCCTCAAAACACTTCCATCCCCAAGGCTGAGATACTCAAGACAGAGTAAAGAAGGGAGAAAGAGACATAGCTCTCCTCAAGCATACTACTAGAAAAGGGCCTTGTGTCTGACAAAGTCAACAATTTCAAAAAATGCTTGTATTTTGATGTAATATGACACCAAACAATGTAATAAGTCTGTGTAATCAAATTCATGTCAGTGTTTTTGGTGCCATTTTCTTTGAGGTTCATGATTCATAAACAAAGTCCCACTCTTTTTAAGGATAGGTTCCCATCTTTATTTCCAAATCTGTCTCAGTATGATACTCATATTCCCAAATGTACATTTAAAGAATTATTGGTTGTCTTAACTATTCCTCTTCTCTTTCCTTGCCATGACACAATCCCTTCAGCAGTGTCTAAGCCAAATCAGGTGCATATTTTCTATACTATTTATACTCAATGTATATATAGGCATATGGCTTTTTTTCTTTTTTTTTTTGATTAAGATAGACTTGAAAAATAAAATCATAACCAACTCTTTAACCCAGACTACTGTTGGAGTTAATTTACATCTCTAGACAGACACAAACAATGTGTAGTAAAATGAACAGCTAAGCCAATAATAACATAAATTCATGTCTTTTACCTCAATACCTCAGGTTATTCATCAGATTTTTTATATATATAGCTAACTTGAGACATATTTCAATCAAGTTACCAGTTCTGTTTCGGTAAAGGTCAGTGATAAGCTTTACAGGGAACTGCAGCTTGCTTGCATGGAGCTTTTGCTTTATTCAAGCTTGAATCGAGACTTTATTTCAACCTCTGCGTTCAAAGAATAAGCAATTTCTCTATATTTTTTATCTTCAGATCATTTTCAGGACGTAGTCATGTAGTGCACAAACGGGATAAAAGGGATATTTAAAAAGTAATATACAAAGAAAAGTCACAGAATATTTCTGTGAGTGAGTGATCTTTTCCTGAAGTGTCATGCACTATTACATTGAAGTGGCCTTTGGGGCTAATGCTGCTACTGCCCTACCCTCACTCAACAGCTGCATGTTGAGAATATGGGAGTCCCTGCTGCTTAGAAAAAATGTCAGCTTTCCCTCCTAAATCATAACACAGATAATGCACTTGCAGAGTGTGTTTGTCTGTGGCACAATGAGAAGCCTTGAGGGGTCAAGTTAGCATCATTCTTTCTATATGGCCCCACAGTGGCAAGGCACTGTGCTTTCTGTACTCCATCACATGTAGGATGGCTCCTCTGCCATTTGTTGGGAATGAGATATAAACAAGTTATATAAGCCCATGAATTTTTTTTGTCTTTTCTTAAGTCTATAGAAAGGAGCAGTGAATTCATAAATTTAAATTATAAACCCTGGTTGGTCTTTTATGCAGTTACTTTATAAGGTCCATTAACTGTCACTGGAGGCCTAATGGTTCCTGTAAAATAAGCAATAAGTGGAATGTCCCCCAGTATATGTTTTATGATCAGTCATTATAGGTAAATAAATTTGAAATTATATGACCTTCAAATTGATATTTCAGCAATTGATCTTTTTTTTCCCTCTAACTTGTTGAATATAGTTAAAATGCGCATATGAAGCTGTTTTTCAGATGACTGCAGTATTGCAGGTACTTATTAAAGAAAGGCTTGTGGCCTGAATGTCATTGGCTATTGTAAAAATTGCTTTCATTCAGTTTCTGTGGGAGCTAGTTTATTATACCACAATTTCCCTTCGCCTAGAGTTAATAGAGTTCACTTGCATTGATTCCAGACCCCTAAGAAATGTGAATAGCCATCTCTAATGTAGCTTCATGTCATTATATACGTTGGGAGTGGATCCAATTTTATAAGGAGAAAATTGGGTGCCCTGAGGTGGTTTTGGGATAATTTAACACAGAGAAATGGATTAACATGACCAAAGCTATCACATTTATCATCTTTTTAATACATTTGTCGTGTGCTGTTTTTTCTCAATAATTATAGCTGTTTTATCAACAAAAGGACATATTTCTTTATCACTTTCTGTATGCGTGGGCTGTAATGCCACATTGGTTATCAGTTTCTCTTGCTCCCTCTCCAGCCTCAGTTGTACTGGAGTGATCTAGGTTTCAGCTCTTGGCTGTGATCAGGCCACTCACAGTGAGCGGTCTGAGTCCCACTGGACACGGCAGAAGTGTTCTGGTGCTCCTGCCAATACACTCCCACCCTGGCCATCTGTAGATGGGCCTTTTCTCCTCTATCTCCCTGCTCTTCCCTCCCTTTTCCTCAACCAGGGTACTGCTCCGTCTGTCAGAGATGTCAGCACAATGACACCGTGGAGAAATAATTTGGAAACTCACTGCACTTTGCGTTTCTTGCTACAATCTCTGTGCCATTTTCATGGTAGACAGGGAATACTAAATACTAAATGCCTAAGCTTAGAGAGGTTGAGAGCTGTCTTGCAGCAGAAGGGGTTGGCTAATTTAATTTTCTGTTCACGAAATGTTTTTTGTTTAGTCCCATTAAGATTAAAACATCTATACATGAAGGTCCTGTTTTGAATTTTATAGATCCAAGTAAGTAAACTGCAGGTCACGATCTAAAAAGGATGTAAAGCCTACACATTTTGGGTCATCATCTATATTCAGTATGACAAGACTTCTAATGTATTTTAATGAGCTTGGAGTCCAGGGTGAGAGATTATAAATCTCTCCTTTGTTCTTCAGGCAGAATGCAGTTTAAGAATAATGGCCGGTTAAGAAAATGGCTGAGCACATATCACTGTTTTGTATTTGCACTGTAGCTGATTTCAGAGTCCTCTCAAGGCATAGAGGCAAAGGCAAAATGCATTGATAAGTTGAAAACACATGTTGGTCAAGTTACACATAAGGATGCCTAATCTCAGATCGTTCACGAGACAGCAGTGATAAGCTTCTTTTCATTAATGCTGTGCTAAATAGTCACATGGTTCAAGACTACACAAGTCTACTACTGTTGTTGACCACTGAGCATACTGAGCAAATTGATGTTATTGTCCTGTTCAAATGCTTCTCAAAAATAGACTCTTACTCCAATAACCTTGAGGTGCTGAAATGAAGGTCTGGTTTTCTTTCAGCTGCTTCAACTACCTCTTCAAATCCCCTTCAAGTGACTTTTTTTCTGAGGAAGGTTCCTAACTGAGTGAAATGACCCGGAAGTATCTAAGTGTCAGCCATGATAAGAGCTTGTCGAATTCTCTAAAATCTGAGCTTGCCTCAATGCTTCCTATCTGCTCTCCTTTACAATGGGGTACACAGGAAGTAGTGCTGTCCCACAACACTTAAAGCGACGCACCATTGTAGTTTCACCATAGCAGACCCACATAAATGTAAAGACAACAAAGCACCTATTTTATACTGACATGATCCAAAACTTATAGAAATCCTTGTATGACTGGCTGAGCTGAAGAACAGGCATATTGAAATTCTAGCCAACAATATCATCATTATAAGAAAATAACATATTCTATTTCTTTATCTATTTTGTTGTTACCACCTATGAGTAATTGATGGATAAATGAACCATATGTATAAACCATATGTATTTCTTAGTGAGATTGTGTGTGTGTGATTGTGTTTTGGGCAGGAAACCTTTCTTAAATTGTAGGCCTACACCATTGAGTTTGTCACTGTATTTATTTTGGATGTGTTATAAAAAAAAAAAGCCTAGTGTAGGCTAAATGCAGTTGCATACAACACTGTGTTTTTTTTTTCCTAAGCCTTTATGAATTCTCCTTCACATCTTTCTTTGACATTTTCCATTGAGGTCAAGGAAAAGTGATTACAAAAGGAGATTTTTTTTTTTTTTTTTTTTTTTTTCAACCGCAGCCCTGGGCTACTGCCTCCTAGAGATTAAACACACAATAAAACCATCACTATTTTTTTTTCAGTGAAATCAACCATTCATAGCTCTTCACCAGGGAGAAAGAAGGGTTTTGAAATGCCCTCAGTTATTCTAACACCCTGACTGAATGACTGAATGACTGACTGACTGACTGATAGTTAGTGTCTGTATAAGATAACAAGTCATGTCAACCAACCATATCTTCTACAATAACTGTATCAAATGTTGGCTCTTGTTTGAAATTGACTGATGAATGCTAGAAAACACCTAGACACAAGATTTTAAGTTTTATATTTTCTCTTTAATAAAGATGAGGCGCAAGCGGAGAAGGAAGGGTTTCTTTGACATTTGAAATTGGTCTGAAATTGACACAATCTGTATGCAGCTACAAAAGAATATGTATATGATATTCGTGACATTCAGTGTAAGGGCTGCAGTAACAGTGTTCTTATAGTGCAGTACTTTGCAGCTTTGGTGGGGTTTGCTCTTTGACAGAAGATTCAGTGACTAATCCTCCACTTTTCAATAGTTCCAGTAATCAAGAATTTTGTCTGTTAACAAGGTGTAAGGCAAAGCTTTCATTTCACTGTGTGTGCATGCATGAATGTGCATGCAAAGCTCAGAGAAAATCAAGAATCAATAAGCCAGCACAAAGAACTGCAAAGAAATATGAGTGTGTGTATAGTGTAACCTGTAGTATATTGCATCTAAAAAGTTTATCTGCAGGGGGTAAATAAAATGAGAAAACCAAGGATTGTCAGATGGTCAATGATTGCTGTAGGCAGATATTTCCTCTGAATAACAAATCACTACTCACAGTATCCTGCTCTTAGGCTACAGTCCAGTATTATGAAGCATAACATTCTAGCAGTTTTATTTATTTTTTTTTGTAGTCTGCAGTATTTCATTGAATTTTGTGTGCTTATACTGAAAATCTAACCCAGATTTCATCAACACTAGACATTTTTTTTTCTTTACATTGACATCAAAGCTCAGCTCAGGTAGTGAGGTACATTCCTGTTTCACCAGCAGCAGCAGCAGCAGCACACACTGTCCAAGCAACATATCCACTGACAGTAAAAATGTGAAACGTATAACATATCCATACATTTAAATTAACTAAATTGTTTCAAATGCTCGTCCTGGTGTGCTAGTACTGATTGGCTCTGCTTCTTTCCTGCAGGGGGAGCTGCTGAGCCCATGTCGGTGCAGCGGGTCAGTACGCTGCACTCACCAGCCCTGCCTCATCAAATGGATCAGTGAGAGAGGGTCCTGGGCCTGTGAGCTATGCTACTACAAATATCAGGTCATTGCCATCAGCACCAAGAACCCACTGCAGGTGAGCCTTGGGCGTAATGGACAGCGCTGTAGAAATTTAAAAGGGAAAGAGCTAAATGAGAAGCCAAGATTTTATTCAGTTCAATTCAATTCTATTCAATTTTATTTGAATAGCGCCAAATCATAACATACATTATCTCAAGGAACTTTACACGATAATATCGAGACTTTAGAAAATAATAGAAAGAAACCCAACAGTTCCCACAATGAACAATGTGAAAATATAGTTTGTTTATGAAGAAGTTATTGTACCTTCTTGAAACTAGGAGACAGTGGCAAGTAAACAGTCAGATGAAAAACTCAAAACACTGAGAACTGAAATGTGTGTTTTGCCTTCTCATTAGGAGAATTTGTTGGTGTATATGGGGGAAAGAGGGAGACAGCCCCTTGCCCCTTCTCCTATGGGACTCATTCATTCATGCATTTTTGATTTACATATTAAGATCTGGATAGAATGAAACTGCAAAAACACCATTGTAGGAATCACACTGTCTTTGCTGCGGCCGTAGTTCTGCTGTGATCATAAACTGAAGAATTCAAATAAAAATGAATGTTTTTGAATTAAACAGAGCTGCTTAGAACAGAATGATTGCAGCAGGAACTCTCTCTCTCAGGTTTAGACTCTGGTGATATGATAGGACACAGAGTGGACAACCCATGCAGAGGTCAACGCACTGCAGTTTAAGAAAACACATATAAATAGACAAAATACAAAAAAAAAAAACTAAGAAAACATCTTCAAGTTGGTAACACATCTGCTGCAAATATACACAACACAACCAAATATGGAAATGCGCTGCAAGTAGCACAAATGACAACGGAAGTGTTTCCAGGGGACACTAAAAAGTGACACGCTTGTTGTTCAATGCTTTCTGATTTTCTTTTTTTTACATCGGCTACTTGGCAGTGATGTTATGTGTTGTTATTTATTTCAAAAATCCCAGCCGGGCTCATCACCTTTGTGTATTGTGCGTATTTTTTGTGAAAATTAATGAAGATGTTTCCTTAAGTTGCTCTGCGTTGAGCTCTCTCTGCCACTGTACTTTGCCAATAGTCAGCTGTAGAATGCCCTGAACTTTGATGCTTATGGTTTGGTGGCATAGTTTGGAAATCCAGCCATCAGCCTGATTAACTTATAATGAGCATGTTTTAATCTTTTCAATTGATGATTGTGTTCAATAATGGTGTCTTTATCTTGTTGATACATATCTTTGTGTGTTCTTCTACCCCCTGTCCATAAAGTGTTTCCCAATTCAGTATTCAGTAAAGTTAAAAGTGAAATAAGAACTAAGAACTAAGCATCACTGAGGACTGTCTTCTTGCAGTGGCAGGCCATCTCCCTGACAGTGATAGAGAAAGTGCAGATAGCAGCAGCCATCTTGGGCTCCCTGTTCCTGATGGCCAGTATTTCCTGGCTGGTGTGGTCATCTTTCAGCCCATCGGCCCGCTGGCAGCGACAAGATCTGCTTTTCCAGATCTGCTACGGCATGTACGGCTTCATGGATGTCGTCTGCATCGGTGAGATGTTACATTTGACACTGGTTTATTTATTTATCTACTTAAATTAAGGTTCATGCTTCTTCTTCGAATGAGTTTGTGCTTTTTACCACTGGGAATAGTATTGAGTGTGTCATGTCTGGTCACAGAGGTACATTATGCATTCAACTGGGAAAAGCAAACATAATGTCATAGCTCTTCAGCAGAGTCAATAATTATACCTGCCGGCTGTGCACAAATTATTGTGAATGCCATGAACAGTTTACACTATTGACATTTAATGGAATTAATCTATACCACAGTCAACAACTTCAAATCGTTATTGAGTGCATGGACACTTGTATTTTGGTTCATTATTAATCATCATTCGATCTTTATTATTAGTTTTGTAATATTACAGCCACTATATTAAACGTGATGAGATGCTGTGTGAAAGCTTACGTTAATTAACTCTAATTAAATATGAATGCTGAATGTTCAAAACTCAATTTTGGCAGCTTCACTGTATACATTATAATGCCTGTCACTCTATAATAAAAGCTGCTGCGCCAAAGTCGGACAAACTTCAAGCTTTCTGAACTGATATAACACAAAAGAAAAAAATTAGCATTGAAGCGTACTTAACCATCTTCTGAATTTTTGTGGGTGTCCAAATTGAAACTTGTAGCATCCACTTTAAGCCTGCTGTCCTCTAGAGCCCGAGGGCCCTTGTCGATGACTGTGTGATGGCATCTCACATTAAGAAAACTCTTAACTGCCTCTGTTGCAGACAGCACAATGAGAGGAAGAGGAGATCGATTGTCTCCGGTTTGGCGGCGAGGATTGACTGTGGAGTCATTAACTCTACACTTTACACAGATTAACTTGTCACCTGGCAGATTTTAAGGCCTGACTTTCAGTTGTTCACAAAGTTAAAGCGGAAGAGAAACAGGATTTTATCAATATACTCTGTGTGCTGTATATAGAGGAGGTTAGGATTTATTCATGTCCATGTTTGGCAGACTGCTCTCACTTTAGTTGCTGCAATACGTAAGCCTTATGAAACTCTCATGTCAGAGGACAATATAACTGAAATAAAATAATTGAAATCTGTTAGCTCTATAATGAATACAGCTTCAAGATACAGTGGTAACACTTATTTCAACCACACCTATTTAGCATTGCAGTATAATTGTTGCTGTATTAAGACAAATAGATAATAAATTACTTATAAAATAGTTGTAAGCAGATATAAGGACATTAAGTGTTAAATGAGTATAACTTCTCCTATGAAAATATATTATAGTGATTATATAATACAATAAAAACCACACATTCTGTATTTCCTTCTACACGACTTTAAAATGAAATAAATACTGAATACTCAAAAAAAAAATCTGTTGTTACAGATTGATTTCAATTTTTCATATATGCAGTTCAGTGACCACAAATCAATAAGTAATTTTAAACTGTGATAAGTTGTTATCGAACAACCTCAGAGAACACAAGCATCACTTTGGCTAACCTAAATCCAAAAATGGTGAGTATCACTGTGTCACAAGTTGTGCCGTGTCTACAGTTTTTCTAAGAAATAAAGATCTTATCTGTGGGTTATGGTGCAGTACTTTAAAGATGAGTTGTTTTGTTCTGGTACTCCCTCAGCTAATACTCTCTGCAGGCTTTAACACAGTGAATCTACCACTGCAGAGATATATATCACTTTGTGGCGTCATTAAGACTGCTGCCAGACACTGACATTGTCTGTTTGATGCTCTGATCTCCACAGCACTAATTGTCCACGAGGGACCTTCTGTGTTCCGTATCTTCCACCGCTGGCAGGCCGTGAACCAGCAGTGGAAGGTCCTGAACTATGATAAGTCTATGGACAGCGATGACCTGAAGGATGCCACTGTGGACAGGACTCTGTCTCAGCCCAGCCAGGGCTATCAGACTGGGGTAGGAGTGTCCACTTCCACCTCCTCACTGATGGTGGTAGCCTCCACAGCCGCCGGCTCCACTTCTACAACTGTGGTGACGGCCGCAGGAGGACTGGGAACACATGTGGACCCCAACAGCGGCAGCGCAGTGCCAGACCAACACTGTCCCTACAACATCCTCCACCTCCTCAGCCACCTGAGGCAGCCGGAGGCTCGCAGCCAACCCAGCAACAGCACACGAGAGCTGGTCATGCGAGTCACTACAGTCTGAGGAGTAAGTTGAGGCCTTATCTCACATGGAGGTGAAAGATTTATGAACCAGCTGACAGTTGAAAAAAAAGTCTTATCTTAACTGCACTGGATTAAGACCATGTTCTTGTTTGTTTCAAAATGCATCTCTGATGTCCTTACATGGATTGAATAAAAGTCAAAGTTGTTTGATTTTCAGATTTGGTTGGAAAATAGTTATTTATGGCCTGAGCATGGATCATTCTTGATCTGTGGGACAGTATGATCAAGTGATAATAATAAACTCAAAGGTCAATTTACTTATGATTAAAAGCTTTTAACTGCATCGTTAGAAAGTGGATCTTTGAGCTGCAAGGTCCTCTAAATTTTACTTTACAATAGAAAATATTTGAAATCTGCATCAAACCTGGATCTCATAGTAGTGATGAACAAATATGTGATACATGTATGGGATTTTGTACATTTAAGTAAGAGCAGTAGTTGATCACAAAACTGTGAAAAAAATGCCCTATCTCTTAATATTAAGGTGATGTACTGCATGTTTTTCTCCACTGTTCAGATGCATGATACAGTGATAGTGATCAAAAACTTCAAATGCATTCACCTAAGTTTTAGGGATTTGTGGTTCTTTTCACACAGTTCTTTTTTACTTGTTACCAAAATATCACACTGGTATCACAGTTTACTTATGAAGAGAAACCAGGTTTGAAACCTACCATATATCAAAAAATAGAAGCAGAGATAGTAGGAAATGTGACTGTTGTATGTAAAGCAGCGGGGCAACAGTTGTTCAGCTTTGTCATATTAGATGGCACGAGGCTCTAACACACAAAGGACTTAGATGTTACTCTTTCAGATGTACTGTTTTTAAAAAGTAGGTTGTTTTCCTATGTACTGTCTTTGATGACCGTGTTTTTTTCTTGCAGCGTTTTCTTTCCAGACACCATTATGTGATTTTGTTGATTGTATGATGAGTTTTGAGCAATTATGAGAATGCATTTGCTCTTTTTGAAACACCTTTTCTCTAAATGAGGCCTTTTACAATGCATCTGAACAATGGAGAAAAACTGTCATTAGGACAGTCATCAGCCAGCTTGCTTAATTGCTTCTGCCAGTATCTCCCCGCATGAAAACACGCCTCTGCTCCAAAGCATTGGGGTGTCACTTGCAGTCCATTAGACACATATTCATGTTCACATTTGGCTCACAAAGCCAATGATTTCCCCATCTCTTGGCTCTCAGATTCAGATATGCTCTTTGATATTTCTTCCCAGCTCTTGTTTCATGTCCATGAAAGATCAGTTTTATCCCAGGGGACACCAGATCTCTAAAGCATGTTATGGGAGGGAAGAAACAGTGGTAAAAACATTCCCATGGCCGGGTGGGGATGAGAATGTGTGTGTGTGTGTGTGTGTGTGTGTGTGTGTGTATATGCCTGCATGTGTGTGTGTGGGGGGGGGGTTATTGATGTTACCCATTTTTTCCATAAACTCAAGAGACGAATACTGTGATGCCGTGTTAGGACACTGTGCATTGTTCTACAGTTTCTCATTTGGTTGCAGTCTCCTAAAAAACATTTTGATGCTAATATTATCTTACTGCTAATATTACTACAAGCCAAAGCTGATCATGGTGTGAAACATTTTTCTGAAGCTCTGCCTCAGATGCCTTTGAGCCTTTTCCAACATGCATTACATTAAAACACATCATTAGCTTCAAAATATATCTGATATGACTGATTTGCATTAATATATGTGATGCCAGTGCGATGTCTTTTTCATTACTGTAGGTTTTTGCAGCGCAGCCTGTCTTATCAATATAATACCAACAATTTCGTCGCAGTATTTAGGGGTGATAATGTATTCCAGATGTATTAATTCAGCTGTCAAAAAGCATACTCATGAAGTACAATTACCTGCTTTCTGATAAGCCTTTAGTATTCTTTCTAATTAATCACCACCTTAACTGGTGGATGCGCTGTTTTGCAACCCTGCTATTCCTCATCATAATCAAATGCCAGGAGTACAGTATCTGCAGAGAATCAGGTAGCGCCGTGATTTTCTGCTGAATTATTTAAGCGGTGGAGTGCTGATATCAATGGGTAAGAGCTGCCGTATAGAACCAACTTGCAAAGAGCTGGGAGGTTGCAGAGAGTTCACCGTGAATCTGCTCTCCTCAGTTCTCTTCACACCTTGTCTCTTTCATTATACAGGCACACACACACCTCACTTTGATACAACTCAACTCAAAAAATAAACACCAAACAGATAGGAATTTATTACCTGGATGTCCTCTTTCAGGATTGATATGGGTCACGTGTCTCCAGTAGTTTAAATATTTATTTTCATTCTGTTGCACATGTTCAACTCACATGTATTTCATGCTTAGGAAACATTCTGGATGTTCTCAGTCACCTCCTGTATATGTTGCTGGTGTAGGGAGCATGAGGTCTAACACTACTTTTGATGCGGAGTTATGTTGTCAGAACAATACACCAACTCCTACAGGGTGGGTTTTGGTGCTGTTTTTATTCATTTTTCAAATTTCCAAGGTTTAATTTAGTCAGGTAGTCAAGTTAGATAACCTCAACACTATACTCCCTTCAGAAATAATTATATCTTTAGTATAAAGTGAGTCAACGTTTAAACCAAAGCAGCAACTGCTGTGCCAGATTTTGCAATTTTTAGCTTGAAGGAATCATGACAAAAACAAAGCCTTTCATAAAACTCATGAATATGATTTTCTATCCAATTTTAAAGCTTTTAATATTTCTAACATTTCTGCTAAAGCAAATAATTGAGGCACTTTGCAAAGCATGAATGTGTGAAATTCATATGAACCGGTGATTTCAGAAGGGTTGTCTTTCTCCTGCTTGGTGCTCAGTGTAATAAAACCATTGTACACATTGCTTTCATCTGCAGAAAATTGACCCAAAAAGGATTTTTGCAGACTATATAGAACGCTGAACCTTTGAAACTGAGTGAATTGCATATAGTTAATATGCTTTTCAAGCAGGTCATCTGAAGTCTGAATAACACGGGCAGAACACACCGCATTCACTCCCTGCAAGTTCTGCGACCTCTGAAAATGAAAAGGAGCATTTTGAAGAGCTGCTCTTTTTTTGTTGAAGTGACATGAAATGAGGTATTATAGGTAAAGGTATAATAGAGAAGCTAGCAGCATCAACGGTCGGTCACAATGCTGGGAGAAATTGCAGGAGAGGCAGCCTTAACACTGATGGTCAGATTCTTCTTCTAAGTGAATGCAAAGACGTACATCCATCCTTTCTCTCCTGTTCAAGGTCAGGGGCTGCTGAAGCCCGATGCTACTTTCATTGGGTAAATCAACACAGAAAAAACACACATATGAGCAATTTAGAAGTTCCAGTTTAACTGATCTGCATGTTTTTGGGCTGTGGGAGGAACCTTACACACATACACACACACACACACACACACACAGGAAGACACATTAAACAGGAAAATCTAGAGCTGAGATTCACATCCAGGACCTTCTTGCTGTGAACTGACAGGACCAACTGAGCTACCACCATGCCTCCATGTAGGGACTTTAACTAATAAAAAAAACTCAGATAATTACTTTATCTGGGAATTTTTTAATGTTTAAATAGACATTTACAAGAGTGGAACCAGCTGGAAAGATGAAAGGCATTCTGTTCCTCACTTATCAAAAATGACCATAAGTAATAGACATGAACCTCACTGACGTGTTTTGTACAGCTTGTGTTCTCCCCCTGGTGGCTCTTTCATGTACTGCTCTGGGCTACACTGAGAATACTGTACTTTCAGTTTAAAAGTGTGAAACCAGGCTGCTCTCTGTATGCACTTTCAACAGTTGTTTTGAGGCAGTTACAACTGTACACCTACTTTCTTGTCTTTCTCAAGTTTATTTTCACATGACATATGAGAGTATCACCGGTGGGCAGGGGAATGCCTGAACAGTTAAGATGACTGCCAGCTGTAATGGAATTTGTCTGTCAAACCATAAAGGTGGAAAGTAACTCATTCACGCAAGCACATTTCATTTAAGTATCATTTGAAGGCACACAAAAGAACAACTTCATACACACAGTATTTCAGAGGAGAAAATTGGAATTATTGCAACCATCCATAGTAATAAAATATAATAATAGTTGTCTAGGGCAGTACCCGGGATCAGGTCAAAACCAACACACCCCTCACCACTCTCAGAAATGAAAACCATAAAAAGGTATCTTTTTTTTTTTTTTACCATTTGGATTTGGATATAGAGAAGTTCCACCTCCACCAGCTGCAACATGTCATCTACATATCATAATATAACCCTGAGAAGAGGCACAGCTGCAAAATTAGTATTCTTCTTATTCAGATCTGTCAGTACATTTTTGTGCTAATACTTGAGTATTTCTGCATAAAGCCTGTACTATATTGTATGGACAATCCGATAATCCTCATGGTGCCGTCCAGCTGTGGTGCATCAGAATAATTTAACAATGCAGTACTTGTAATAGAGTACGTTAACACTGTGGTTTGGTTTTGATTCATTGACAATATTGTAATGCATTGTATTAATCCAGAGACAGACAACTGTCAGGGATAGAACGATAAAGTCCTAGTGTAAAGTCTCCCTTTGTATTTAACAATGGACTGGATGTTATCAAATATACCGGTGATGATATCCGTTATCAGCATACATTTTCAAACACTCATCAGTTTCATAAATGACAGTTCATTTCACCTAATCTGGTAAACTTGTTCCTCACTTCATGATGCACAGCTCCTCTACCTGTGAATGTTCATTTGGATGCAGCAGACGTTTATAAAGATGTTGCCCAGGGGTAAGACTCTCAGATTGCCTGCCTCTCTCTTAATCGCTCAGTTGCTCACTCAGCATCTCTTCAGAAATGCACCCCCACCCCCCTTCACACACACACACACTTAGGTGCTCTATAAACAGCAGCAGCGCTCTGTGACAGGCCAAATGATGTATCACTGCATTTCTTTAATTGAGCCCCTGATGAGGGACTTCCTGGGCCTGCTGCCTTTAAACGTTGATAAACAGTGAATAACAAACACTAATGCATTCCTGCTGATAGTCACACAGTACCATACTCTCAAACTAGGGCAAATGCCTCTAAATGTCCAGTCCCAAAATACTGTCACATCTCCCCCTGTTGAACATGACTACCGTGTTATGTTTGCATTGTTAATGACTGTGAGCAGTTCAAAACACTGCAGCTTTACAGTGTCTGGAGAATTTCATTGAGTAAAATCTAGCTCTGGTATACCATTATATCCCCTCCAGATTTGATGGGATTCTAGCCATTAATCCTGCTTGCTGAAAAATGTCTGTTTTCACACCTTGTTTATGTTTGTCAGCATAGTTTTTTTTTTGTTAATTGTTTTGACAGTGGATAGTTTGCCCTGCACTTGAGGAAGAAAGGATAAGATTTTGGGGGTGATGAAGAGCTGGTGTTTCCAATAGCTGCATCCCAAAAGTAATGCGCACAATCAAAGGACTAGATAACCAACAGATGGTTTATGTGAGGGTCAGGTCTTTTCATCTATTCTCTACTATCCTTACATGTCCTTGTCTGCAGACTTGCAGTGACCCCTCTCCTGATTTCCATTGTATAGATTTGCAGGGTTTTTTTATGTTTTTTTATGTTATGTATGTTTTTTTGCCTTAATTATATAAATCACTGAGAATAAACTTAAAATATGTTTTTGCTTTATGTAATTCCTCTACAGCATAGACAAAATGAGCATACAACATTTACGGTAGGTGGTGATTACACAAATTATGATTGTAAACCTCTTTAGCAAACTATTATGTAACTAAAGGGAATGGATAATTACAGTAAAAAGCTGCAGTGCAGTGTGAAAACACATTCATCTTAATAGTGAGAGACCTTGATCAGTTTAGCTATACACTCCACAGCCTGTAAGTGCCTCTCACAGTGTTTTCGCCAAAGCATATATCTGCACGTGCTCATAATGCTAAAGTTAAATGAAGCATAAATCCCAGTCATCAGGTCCACTGAGTGACCTCGCCCCAGCTACTGCAGAGAGGACACATCTCTGCCCTTGATTCATTAAAAAATGAATAAAACCATAGAGGCATGAAAAGACAGACAGGTCATCTGTAATAATCTACAGAGTCTGAGAGCAAAGAAGTCCTTCAAGAGACAATGAAAAATTGATTGGCTGTGAAATTTAAGATCGTGCTGCAGCATCCATAGTGCCATCTGATGCAGAGGGCCTGCATGTTCTTTTTTTCTGCAAATATGCAGAGTTAGTAAGAAAGAAAATGAAATTACATTGAGTTAAAATTGGGTGATCTTAACAAGTTAAACACAAAAATGTAAAAATTTAAGTGGTGTCCCTAACCCTGAAAATGATAGGGCATTCCGCATCAGTTATAGGTTGAAAAGAGCTGGTCTTCTATCTTAAGCTATCCCATAGAGTTTTTGACCACTTTTAGTACTACACAGCAGTGTCTTTGAGACTGTGCTCCTTGGGGGGGGGGGGGGGGCATGGGGAGGGGGGTATGGGCATGTCACGCTTCATCCCAGTAATAAAATAATTGGGATTTTCAGCATTTTACAATTATCAGCAACAACTGATAAAATAAATGAATTTAAAAATGCTACTTTGGCTCTGATGCAGCATCCTGTCTCTGGTTCGCTCTGTGGTCTGGAGCTATGTCCCGCCCACAGCGCCATCTGATTGGTTACACGTCACGAATAATAACCTATCAACGCTGAAGGCTACTTTGTACAGTTCCGGTAAAGTTAGCTCCATGTTGAAGGTAAGACGGCAGACAATCCTCTACAATGAAGTTAAAACAACACCACACTCTGAAAAACAAGTTCATCTGTTGGTTCAAGACACACCGAGCAAAAGAGAGAGAGAGAGAGAAGCTAGCGCTAACTGCTAAGCTAAAGTAACTAGCATCTGAATAGCATGTAAACAACTGCTGAATTGGTGAAAGTCGCGAAAAGGTGCACAGAGCTCTGCGTGGTGGAGCAGAACTAGTTTAAATGTACAGCAGACAGTTAGACACTGTGATGAAGAAAACAACAAAATGTACTGTTCAGATAGATGAGCAATAAACTACCAGTAACAGATACTGCATGAGACTGGAGATGAAACACTACGCTGTAGACAGCATAGTGCCTCATCTCCATTACTCCACCAAACACAGTGAATGAGAAGACTGCAAGCATGTAGACATGGATGTAAACAATGTAGGTTTCAAATTTTTAAGGAAAAAACAACAACTTTGCAGTTGTTTAATGAGCAAGGAAATACCTTTAACACAATTGTTAGACCTCAAAGATGAATGTAAACAATTAATGTAAACTGACTCTTTGTTTACAAGAAAATCCACCAGCAGAATATTCAACTTTAGTAAAAGTACTGCATTCAACATCCTTGTCAGTAAAGTATAGAAGCAATAAGAGCAAAATGTACCTAAAGTATCAAAAGTACAAGTGCTCCAAATGAAAGGAAATGGTCCCGGTGTGTTTTATTATATCTTATGGATTCTTATTCATGTGGATTAAATATTGATGCACTGATGTGTTGTAGCCTATCTTACAGTTTTAGTAGGTCAAAGTTGACCTATTTAATTCACTGTTGAGCTTATCAAATTTAACACTGCATTGCAAAACATTTTAAAAGGTTATCATGTGTTTTTTTGTAAAATCTTGACCTATAAAGTCAAAAAATGTCAGTACTCAAGATTCAATGTTTGTTTAATTTGACCCGTGGGTCAAAAACCAAAGTTTGTTTATAAAACAGAAAATCAGCAGATCCTCAAATGGAATTTTGCTTTAGAAATGATTAGATTGATATATCAGTTATCAAAATGGTTGCAGACTAATTTTCTGTCAATCAGCTAATGGACTAATCGAATAATGGCTTCGAACTATAAACTTTGGAGAGTTACAGCAGCTAAATTCCAACATGACATCTCTCTTGCTGTATAGTCTTGAAACATAAACAGAGAGTGAGTGCGTGCAGCTTTCTCCATGTAAGGATATGGAACAGTGGAGTTGATGTGTTTGTAAAGCTGCTGTTTGGACAGACACAGTGACATTTATTCTGTCAGATCGGGCAGATAAATAGATTTTTGTATTTACTTAAAGCCACTTTATTTTCCAGAATTGTTCTTCTTGGTTATGGAGACTATGCTGTCTAAGTCTAAGTATCCAGCTGCTTTTTCACGCTCATCTAAACATCAAGCGGTGAAACTGCACGCGGACGCGCTCGTGCGTCATTTGAGAATAAAAACGGACGGCCCCTCGCGCCGAGCTGACCCTGACTGAGCCTGCTGATACGGAAACTCTGTGATTGAGATGATTATCCGAAGTTTACAGACTGTGGAAATTGCTTGAATTTCCTGACAAGTCTCAAGTCTGAGCTTGAATTTTACCTCCTCAGTCCTTTCGTCGCGGTGAGTAGGCTGCGACTTTATTTGAACTTTTATAAAAGTTAAGTTTGGTGTAGCCTCATGTTTGGCGCACCTACTGATCCACAGCGTTTAATATCAGATCTTTAGTCGTCTGTTTGTCTTCTCTTGATTTTAAAGCTGTACTGTAGTATGAAGAGTGAAACTATTCAGAGCACATATTGTGTAATAAGGCCAGGCCAGTGGATGTTAATGTAGACTTCTAATGGAAGTAGGCTTTACTCACAAGTAACTTATTAGCAGCAAAATGTACTTAAAACGTCCTCATCATCCAGAATGGCCATGTTTAGGGCGTTATATTATTATATATCATAGTATATTGGACCATAGTTATTGATGCACTGTCCATAACCAGTATTTTAATATTGTGGCTGGTTGAGGTGAGGCTAAATCGGATTACTTTATATTCTGTGTAACAGTGCATCAATTTTATAAGATGAGCTAATATTTTGGATGTAAGACTGCAAGTAACCTGTTATCAGTTAAATAAATATAGTGGAGTAAAAAGTTCTATATTTCTCTGTGAAATGCAGTAGAGTAGAAGTATAAACTAACATAAAATGGAAATACTCAAGTAAAGTACTTCAGTCCACCACTTTTTTCTTTGTGTTTTGATGTTCTTGACAGGAAATGGTTTGGGAAGCCCCGCTGTGGATTGCGGTTTCACTAAACCATCACTTTAAGATCATTTTTATTTGTTGATGTTGGTTTAAGGGAATTTTCTGCGTTTCCAGATGAAGTCTTCCTCACCTATACAGCACACACCACTGTCTTAACAGCTCAAACAAAACAACTGTACTCTTCTAGGAGGTTATTTCCCTACACAAAATCTCATCCAGGTCCTAGTTGGTCTTACTTGTGTTTTGGGGTTCTTGAGATTAAATAGATTGGAAACCCACCGCCCTGGATCTCAGCTTCACTAAACAGGTGGGAAGCAACAACCAGAAATTTCATTTCAGCCACAATTCAAATATTTTTTCCACACAGTGTGGTTATTCACTGTCATTGTTTAAAACAACGATAAACATTCCTGAGCTCTGTCGAGCCGCCTTCTGTGAAGACTCACTTGCCTGACAGCTATTTCCTGCATTTAAAGGGAGCTTTGGAGTTAAAAGTAAGCCTTCAACAACTGACCTATCCATTCCTCTCTGTATTTATTTTTTAGGGGTTGCAGGAAAAATGGAGATGATATCAGGGTTCATTTTTCTGTGTATGCTCCAAGCTGCAATCCCTCAACATCTGGACCCTCGTGGGCCAAGGCCAATGCCTGGGCAAGGTGACATTGAATCAATAACTCCACCTCCAGTCCTACCTGAGCCCACACCAAGACCTGGAAGTTGTGAGAGTGAGTTCCACTGATTACTTTTCAGCTCAATAAAACATGATTATAATGTGCAAATTTTGGAATTTGCCCCATAAGAATATAATCTTTTGTGTATTCAGTAGTGGAAGAAGTGGTGGTGGGAGTATTCAGATATTACTCCATTAAAAGTCTTGTATGCAAGATATTAATTAAGTTAAAGTAAACAAGACAAAATTCAGTATCAAAAATAAAAGTACTCATTATATAGAATGGTCCCTGTTAGTGTTTCACTATCATATAATTGGATTATTATTACTGATGCATTAATATGGTCAGCACCTAGAGTTTATTTTGATTGATTTATATACATTTTGGTTGTTAAATCTACAAGAATACATCAAAATGTATCAGCTTATCATCTGAAAAGTAGCTATTAACTAAAGCTTTTGAAAAAAATATAAATATAGTAAAAAGTACAATATTTCCCTATTAAATGTAGGGAACTTTACTGACTCAAGTAAAGTAAAAGTACCTCAAAGCCATACTTAAGTACACAGTAAAGATACTCCATTAACAGTAAATGGCTGGCATTGAAAAGTATAATCAGGAAAGTGTACTTAAAGTATCAAATACTCAATGCAGGAAATTGTCCCCTGTGAGTGTGAATTATTATATATTATATCATTAGATCATTATAACTCATTAATGCATTAATGTGTAAGCAGTTTTTTTCTGTTGTGGTAGGTTGAGGTGGAGCTAATTTGTAACTATTTTATGTAGAGCTGTGACATCTTCACCTTACTTGTTTTGTCCAACCAATAGTCCAAAGCTCAAATTTATTAAAAGTAAAATTGAATTAAACATTATCATTTTTATGAAAATTATTAAATAAGCATTAGATCTTCATAACTGAAAATCTAGTATCATATTTGATAAGCTCTTCTTATGTTTTGTATGCAAAAATCTTATATTTATAAAGTAACTAAAGCTGAATGAAAAGTATAATGTTTCCCTATGAAATGTAGTGGAGTGGAAGTATAAAGTGACATGAAAAGATTATACTCAAGTAGAGTACAAGGACCTCAAATTTGTACTTAAGTACAGTTGTTGAGTAAATGTACTTAATTACGTTCCACCACTGCATATAATACATTGTAATATGTGTCAAAGGCAACAAACTGTGCAGTAAAGGTACTTAAACTTGAGTCACTCTTCTCCTGCAGCTGGGATAATCGATTGTCCCATCAAGCTGTATTTCACCATCGACACCTCAGAGTCCATCGCCTTACAGGAGTCCCCGATAAGTGTCCTGGTGGACAACGTCATAGAGTTCACCAAGATCTTTGTCCAGAGGCTGGCTGATGAGGAGTACAAAGGCCAGATCCAGATCAGCTGGTCTATAGGAGGCCTGTATTTCTCCCAGAAGCAGGTTGTCTTCAGCCAGTTTACGACCAAAGAGAACTTCATCAGGAATCTCGGTTCAATCGAATACCTGGGCAAAGGCACCTATACCGACTGTGCCCTGAAAAACATGACCCACCATGTGACCCAGCACTACTCAGGGACGAGGGCTGTCCTCTTCTCTGTCGTCATTACTGATGGTCATGTGACAGGAAACCCATGTGGAGGGATCAAGGTGATGGCAGAGAGGGCCCGGGACAAAGGGATCCATATTTTCTCAGTGGCATCGTCCAGACGAATTGACAAATTAGGGATGAGCGATATAGCCAGCTCCCCCCAGGGAGTTTACCGTGACGACTACATAGCTGTGGATATTGTTGACGGGCGACCAAAAATAAAGACTGAATCTATCGATCGTATCATACAGGCCATGGTGAGCCGAAATGTTGTACCCATGTTGCCTTAAATGATTGTGTTTTGATTCAGCTTTCGTTACAGTATCACTATCAGGCATTTTTCACTTACTGCTGTCTTTTCTTTGCAGAAATATCAAGCGTATTTACAGGTAAAAATGATTAGATGTATTCTATTAACGAGACTAGTATTTAAAAAGGGGTTTTGGATACATTGCTGCTTTTATGTATTACCACATTTAATATTGTTTTATTTTCCTCCTTGCTCTTTAGTGTTACAAACCAAAATGCTTCGAGTCTCCTGGGATGCCTGGACCAAAAGGGCTTCCAGGTCAGAAAGTGAGTAAGGGAAAACAAAATCAATACAATATATGAATGATGTGTGTAAATTTCTGCTTGTACCAAATATTGTGTTAAAATGTCAATATTTCTTCTTATGTATAGGGTGCAAAAGGAAACACAGGTCAACCTGGGCCAAAAGGTGACAAGGGTAGACAGGTAGGAAGTAGTAGGGAGAATGTATGTCTACAGGAATTTAATAAACAGCAAGTCATTGTTAAACTTTAAAAAATCTATTTAAACAGACTGTATCATCATTTCAATGGTTAATATAATTTACTATATTTCAGGGTGATCCTGGCATTGAAGGTCCAATCGGACACCCTGGTCCAAAGGTTTGTTCAGGCTGATAATTATTTTTGCTTAGTAGTTATCTAAGGTCCCTTTTTTTTATCTCAGTAACATGTCCTTCTGTGCCTTTTTTACAGGGAGAGGTTGGTTTGAAAGGTGACAAGGTGAGAGCTAAACTTTATATTCCTGCTCTTCTGTTCCATTTGTCAAATTGAGAGAAGTTTTATTTGGATTAATACATTTGTTTTACCTCATCAGGGTGAAATCGGAACAAGTGGAGCAAAGGTAAATAATGTTTTTCTTTTTATATCCTACTACACCCAACACAGTCAACTGTAGTTAAGTTTCTGTCTTCACTGACGTCCAAATTCTCAGGGTGCGGAAGGACAACCTGGCAGGAATGGAACCGATGGCCAAAAGGTGAGTTTTCATACAACACAGCAAAATGTACAGTTGACCATGACTTGTATATGCTCAGTATATTAATATATAATTGTTTCTCTGAAATCGTCAGGGTAAAATTGGCCGAATTGGAGCTCCTGGTTGCAAAGGTGATCCAGGTGATAATGTGAGTTTACTATTTATACAAATTTATTTTTCGCATGTTAATGTCAAGGTCCTAGTATTTACTTTCATGTAAAACAGCTGTAGAACAGCTGCTACAAATGTTAAATGTGATATATTGTGATTAAGGTGAGAACATGGTGGTAAGATTATTAATAGGCCCAGTTCTATTCTAATCATCTTATTTAATCATACTGATTAAAAGATGCATGTGGTTAGTTAAATTTTAAATGCATCAGCCACAGAGCTGTTTACTAGTTTACTTAACTACTGAATCATTTTGTTCTTGTCTCTTAAAGGGACCAGATGGTTATGTTGGAGAAGTTGGTGACACTGGACCACCTGGTGACAAAGGAGTAAAGGTCTGTATTAAATCAAAACTAGGATCTTTTCTCTCCCATTAAATGAAGCAATTGAAAAAACAACATTCAGCCAACTTCGATCAGCCATGCAAGGGCTTTAGAATCGGTACACTGCACTACATGGTGTTGTTAGCTGTTTGTCAGTCCATCACTCTGTCCAAGTGAAAGCAAAATATTTACAGCAACTGGAATTGATTCCCATGAAATTCAGTGGAGACCGTCATAGGGCTTTAGTTTTTCCAGCGCATCCAAATCATGAGTGGACAGCAACTAGAAAAGGCAATATATTTGGAGGGAAATTTAAGCTTGTTTTAACTGAAAAAATAGCATATCACAGAGCCTTGAACTTGACTCTCATCTGTTAGAGCAGCTGGGCAACATGCTATGCCAGGAAAACTGTTTTTCTGAGGACGGACAGCCTGGTTCGAGACCTCTGAAGTGCTGTCCATCTCTAGTGTTTTTAGCAATTCAAAAAATCTAGTGTTGTGCTCATTAATTTTTGTTTTCATGGTTGGAAAACAACTGACCAATCAAACCTTTTTAAGGCAAATGGGGAAATCATCTCCAAGAGTGTGGCTATCAATGCATCTATACAAGTTATTGTCAGTCAAGAACAAAAGTAACAATCCGCACAAAAATGTTAATTGCATATAGCAACCACTAATGTGGCGTCTGCATCAACCAAAAATGATATTGATGAAGCAGATATGTTACTCAGTGAGGATTGGTTAGGGCAAAATAAAACTACTCCCTAATGCGAACACTACGTCAAACTGAATGATAAAGTAAAAATTAAATGACAATTCAGTCTCATTATCAAGCTAAATCAAACAAGGGACCTATTCATTGTGAGGCAACAGTGCAAATCATTGACCCAACATGCCTCGGATGCAGAGTGATCTGCAGAAGCACACACCTTCCTGAAGAGAAGTCGAGCTAGCCAACACCACACACCTGTGTGAGCTGGATAGTCAAGGGAAAGCAGAAGGTTGTGAGGGAGACACCGAACAGGTCTCAGATAGTTTCAGACAGTAACTGCCCAAAATTACAGCAGGTATCAGTTGATGAACATGGATGTTAACACAGAGTTTAAATACTTTTAAGTTAAAAGGGGGAAAAGTGAAAGATTCTGTCTCAGTGGCAGTGAATGAGAGGTCTCTCCAAGTAACATATATCAATTACAAACAAATGAACAAAGTTTTCTATGTGGAACTAGTTAGTGAGATTAAGTGAGACTACCATGTGTAGCGTTAACGCCATATTTTTGAATTTACTCTCGTTGAAATGGGGCACCAGTCCTCTGGGAGGACAACAATGAATTACTTCATTGCCAAATTTTTTAATCTCATATCGGAAGCCATGACTTCTCGATTCAATGGATCTCCAGTCTCTACGTCAAAAGAATACAACAGGACAACAACTGGGTGTAAATAAAGGAGTTTATTTAACTAAACTATTATCTACAGAGTAAATGCAAGGTGTAATAATCATAAAGATGAAAATAATAAGGAAATGAGCAGTGTGATGAGTTGGCAATGGTGGGAGAGGATATGTTATGGCTATGCACTATGGCTATAGAGCTAATGATGCTACATCTACGAATTAGGTTTGATGATTAAATATTGCTATATTTCGACATCAACCCAGTCATGAGCAGAGTGTTAAGACCGGCCTACTGTGAGTTGCGCTGTAGCTGAAGACCCTCGGCTGGAACCCAGGTGGCTGTGGTTGCCGTGGTAACCCCGGAGACGCGGGATCTAGGTGGATTCTCCTGGAGGCCGTGTCCCGTTATCACGACGACGGATTCTGCCGGTGTCTCAGCGGTTCAGCTCTGGTGGAGTTTGCCAGGAGACTTTATGTCTCGGGCACTCTTGATTTCTGCTCGGCTTCTCTGCAGGCGGTCGTGCAGAGGTGTTATCTGCCGGTGTCTCTTGCAGGTTGATACGAAATAAACTCTAATGCTCTTCACTTTGGCTGGATAACTTTAGAGGAGACTGGCGTTGACCAGATGACTCTAAAGTTGTCAAAATCTTCAAAAGGAAAACTTGATTATTAAAAGTTACAAAATTACTCTGAGGCACTTCTGTTGCTTTGGTTCAATTGGTCTTGACTTGGCTTATAAAAATAAAAGATTGCGCATGTAGACAAAAATCATGTTACTTGTAGCTTGTGGCAAAGAAAAATAAAAGACGCGAAAAGTGCAAAAATGACTAAGAGCCATGAGTTTGTGGCTAGCAGCTTAGAGCTAAGAGTTTACATGGCTACAGAGCCGGGCTTTGAGCCGGGACTCTGAGCTTTGAGCAAAGATCTCAGCTTCTAGTTTCTGCATCGTTCCTCGCTTCTCGCATCTTCTTGTCATCTGGGTTCCTCTGACTTTTCTTAACTGACATCTGACCTCTTCTCACCTTTCAGGCTTTTCTGCACTTCTCCGACTTTTGTGACCTGTTCTGCTGATCTTCTTGGAACTGATTTTCTTGGAACTGAACTATGTGAATTGATCACGACTGTTTTATCCCCTGGGGGCTGGCGCATGTTTCAGGGGTGTCACCCATCGTCTCCTGTGTTTCCACTTGGAGAAGAGAGTAATTTTCCACTGAACTTTGGAATAATTTAATTCTAGAGTTTACTTATAAGCTCGCACATCCGTCTTCCACCATGACCACAAAACATTAAGTGAAATAACATATAAAACTATTTGCGCTAATAATGGCAGAGAGGAGTAATAGGAGTGTTGATTGCATATTACATCCTTCAAACCTGGAATTAATCATGATACAAGTGGTTAACTGATCAAACAACAATATAAACATTTCTCAAAGCTAATAGTCTATACATGTGGATTGTCGGCAGTTCTTTCACTGTAATAATAATAATATGGACATTCTGGATGTCATGTAGTGTGTTACCTTGTGTGAGGGATGCTGACAGTATTGTCACATGAAGGACGTTGTCTTAAAGTCTACATGTTACATTTCAAACATTCTATAGGATAGAAGTTTGGGATTGACCTATTACATAGAGACATCTCAGGAGTTACAGAACAGCTAGATATTTCATTATATATTCTTCCTCAGATCTGTGTCTGTGAAGAGAGTTCTGCTGGTCACTACCCAGGATTGGAATGTGGGTTGTAGTTTATGACTCTTATCTAGAGAGGGACAGAGGAAGGGAGGTTGGTGTGTGTGTTCATGCATGGCACAGACAGGCCAGGATTCACACCTTAGTGATAATCAGTCCTTTTGTTGTTACTTGTCCTATGCAAGAAACAATCAAATATCAATAGACAAAGTCTTATTGTTACAAACTGGAGATTTTGCCTATATTCTCCAGTTGCCTGGTGTCCATTGGTTAATCCTCTGGAGCTGACCCTTTGACCTTTGGTCTGGTTCTGTGTCATTCGGACATGCTAAAACCATGGTCTGTTTGTGGAAGAGGGGTCCTTTGTCTCTGTTTCCTATCAATTTGATAGTTTGATGGTGGGAAGAGTCGCAAAGTGTCAATCCGTAACTCTGCATGTCCTTACAATGAACTTCCTTAATGGCTTGTGACTGATGCCAGGCCACGTATGTACGCTACACATGTTAACGTTAACATTAGTTCAACTGCTGAATTCATGTATTCATAAACAGGAAAACTCCTATTTCAAAATTATTGCTAGCTAGGTTTTAAGTGTAACTTTTTATAGTTTCTAAATATAAACAGCATATAATGTACATACTTTTTATTCAACTACATTGTCTATTGTCTATTAATATTGGAGTTTATTAGGATTAATACTGTGAGCAAAACGGGCTTTTTGGCTATTTATGCACTTATTGGTTGACCTTTCTGTGGTTCTTTTGACTGAGTTCCCATATCTCTGACTTGGAATTACAAACAGGAGGCTGAATGGTTTTGCACATGATTACAACCTGAATGGGGTTACATGAATGTGGCCAAAGCAGCGGAAGCTTTGAAATACAGCTTGGTCGAACCTTGAATCAAGCCTGACAAGCTTAGGCTGAGATATTTTAAAGTGGCCATTGCATTGAGGATAAACCGTGGATGTATTATTGATGCAGTGCTCCACAATAGTACCCTCTTCATGTCAATCAAAGTTTTTCATCCAAGGTTTTTCAGGCTTTCAAATTCGTGGCCTACACCCACATGTGCATTGAAGCCTGGCTGACTGCCCAAACAGAATAACACAAAGTGTATATTTTGAGATGACGCATCCTAGCTTTTAAGTGTATATTCATCCTTATGGTTCAAATTCAGTTTCTAAAGAGATTATTTTGAAGAGAACCTTTTGATGTTTAATTTTTTTTGTCCACTAATGGCAAAGATACCAGAATAGCAAAGTTGTCTATCCATCCATTGGGGCTGTAGACTTTAAGACATGTTAAATGTACATTAGCTAATGTCTTCAGTAATGTATTTTTATTTGTTGCTTAGGGTGATAATGGCCACCCTGGGAAGTCCGGGCGCACTGGTCCTCAGGGTGCACAAGGACCAAAGGTAACCTTCAAATTAAAATACCACTGAAATATCATTCAGAAATGAAGGTTTTTATTTAAAGGGAGAATAACTGGCCTGAATTTTTAATCCATAGGGTGAAAAAGGAAACCCTGGAAATCCAGGGCCATCAGGAAAAAAGGGAACTCCGGTACAGAGGACATTTATTTCTTCATTATAATCACTTCTGTTCTACTGTAAGTTGTTACAAAGCTGACTCTGAAATAAAACTATTAACTCTCGCAGGGGTCTATAGGCTTACCAGGGCCTAAAGGCATAGAGGTATGTCAAAGACTCATTTTTTTACTTTTAATCAAACTTTTTTTGTGAGAATGTAGCAATGATTTTTAAATAAATGTTAACAGGGAAGAAGAGGAGACTCTGGTAAAAAGGGAGCACCAGGACTTGATGGGCCAAAAGGAGAGAAGGTAAGTTCAGTGCTCAGTGCTACAATGCAATATATATATATATATATATATATATATATATATATGTATATCACTCTCACTCTCAATTTCATCTAAAATATGACTCAACTTACAGTAGTGTGTTTTGAAAAAAAAATTCTAAATTCTAAAGAGAACAAGAGGTAAAGAGAGCTAGTGATCTGAAAGCCAATTAACAACTTACTCTGACAAATAAGTTTTGTTGACCTTACTTGAGATTTCAACATCATGACAAGTTACATGAGTTTCAAATCTCTCTGAAGTTTTATTCTTCCAGAGAAAGATCATAAACACATGCCTAGAATAATTAGCCTCTGTTCCTACAGAACACTTCCTAATCAGATTCTCAGGAAAATTCTCCTGAAATACCATTAATGTGTCTCAATGCCTGTTGTGTTTGTATACACTAGTTGATGATTAATGATGTGGTGCAAATCCTGATACAGTCATTTATTTTTCGAGGGAGAACGTGGGCCACAAGGAGGCAGAGGTCGGACCGGGGAAGACGGATTCAAAGGCGCAAAGGTGAGGGAATTGTGCTGTGGGTGGATTTTGGCAGAGCGATGACTCAGCAGCTTCCGAAGAACTCAGCAAGTGTTCTGAGACCTCTGATATGGAAGTTAAGGCTTCATGTACTGGGTATCCTGCCAAAATAGCCTGAGTCTAAGTCTGTTATGATGAACAATTTTCCAGGGAAATTGTTCTGCAGAAAATGTGTTCAGTAGCCTAGTGTTCATTGCTAAATTCCCATCAGCATGAGTACTCTGTGTGGGCTGCAGTGAAGGTGATGTGCGGTAATGTTTTTTGTAACCCTTGTTCTTCCAGGGAGACCAAGGACTACCAGGACCAAGGGGTCAGCCAGGAGAAGCAGGGGCACTTGGAGCAAATGTGTGTTGTTTATCATACATTATAGTGATCAACACCAACCGTTTCTGGTTGGAGTTTCTGCTTTGAGGGTATTCTTAACAAAATATGTGTAAAATAAACTGTAGACAGTGCATCTTTCATTGAAAGTGATTGTTTGTGGTTCCAGGGCACCAAGGGAAATCCAGGAGATTTGGGACCAAGGGGAGATTCTGGACCCCCTGGACCAAAGGTTGGGCAAAGAGTTCAACTTTTGTGATCATCAAATTCAGTAAAAAATTGCAGTGTTTGATGATCTTTTTTTTTTTTTCCTCTAAAGGGAGACAAAGGAAGACAAGGATTCAGCTATCCTGGGCCTAGAGGACCCACTGTATGGTTCTATGTTTACCACATCAAACTTTTGCATGCCTTAAATGTTTTTATTTGACTCTAAAGTATTTCTGCCCCAGGGAGACAAAGGTGATCCAGGCAGGAGAGGATTCAGGGGGGGCAGAGGTGACTGTGGTGCCAAAGGAGATCCTGGAGACAAAGGACCTCCAGGAAAACCTGTAAGATTGATAAATCAACCAAACAAGCAAGTAGATGAACAAAGCCAGGATAGAAATCCATTTAGCTCTGGTGCAACAGAACTACTCTGGACATGCAACCCTTAAAATATTTGCTATGCATACTGCTCAGCCTCAAAGATTTTAAATGGCAGATTCACCCAAATTATGAAAAACATTATCACTTAACAGTAAAGGTATCTACCCATGCAGATAGGTTTCATTTTACTGCCCAAGTTTTGAGATACTGATTCTTTCTGAATTTTCTCCCACCCTCTAATACGATTTGAGTGAAAGGAATTTGGTGCTCACAGCACTGAATAAGTCCTTTTGAAAACTCAACAGCAATGTGTCTTTGCAAAAACAATGTCCCATGCAGTTGAACAATCCACAGACCTCACTGTGATCACTTTTCATTGGGACCTTTTCCTCAGTAGAAAGACGTTCCAAAGAAAACTCTTCACTGGCATGTTTTCCTGAGTAATAGTGTAATTGTTTCTGGAAGCAGATGTTCCTGTTGAATTTCTAGGCACTTTGTTCACCACAAATTAAGTTTTGTTCACCTGTCATGTTTAGATTGAGGCAAAAAATTGGAGAGGATAGTATTGAGTGAGAAAACACCTTGTATGAATTTATGAAGGATTAAGCTGTGAAGTTATTATATATAGTACCTGGTGCTGTTTCTTTTTTAGGCATATCACAAACAATGGTACTACAACAGTCCCAAGAGATCCCAGGAGCCTTGCTAGTGCTTGGTTCTTAGCAAGCAAGCACTGACATAAAACACACAATTAAAGAAATTAAAAACATAGTTTGGTACGTTTTATTTAAGTCTTCTGAAGAATAAGCAACATTTATGTAGTACTGAGCTAAACCAGAGGCAGAACTCAATTCCAAAACAGAACTTCCAAAGAAATACAATACTATGCAGAAAAACAAGTCACTTGCAGTGAAAAATGTCTTTTTAGGGGGAACCAGGTAAGCCAGGTGGGCCAGGAGAAAGAGGACCCAGAGGAAGACCTGGAACTGATGTAAGCAACTGAAGAATCACTTAAATAATGACTTGACCATGCATGCAAATTTGAGATCCAATTGCATTGCTTTCTCTCTCTCTCCCTCTCCATGTGTGTGTGTAGGGTGGCCCAGGACCAGCGGGTGACCCTGGGCTTAGTGTGAGTAAACATTACAGTTTTGTTAATACTACATTATCTATATCTCTTTGGTTGTATTACATCTAACCTGCATACCTGTAACTGCAGGACTGTGATGTTATGACTTACATCAGGGAGACGTGTGGTTGTTGTGGTAAGCAAATATCACCACCGTCATAAAGGCATGCAGTGTGAGTGCGCTGAGTTAACGCTTTGTTGTCAATATCTTTCAATGCGATGAATAATGTTTGTCTTTTGTCTCAGACTGTGAGAAGCGTTGTGGACCTCTGGACATTGTATTTGTAATTGATAGCTCTGAGAGTGTTGGGCTAACAAACTTCACCCTGGAAAAGAACTTTGTTATCAACACCATCAACAGGCTGGGCTCTATGGCCAGCGACCCTGCGTCACCAACCGGTACAGTCGAGCTAAAACACAGCACAGACATCACTGTAAATCCTTTTGCAGACAGAGTTTCAAGTGACAAGAGGTAGAGGTTGCCATAAAAAATTAACCATTTCCAAAGACTGAATCACTTAATCCACCACTCAATATACAGTTAGAGCCAATAATTTTTGGAAAGCCCCCAGTGCTCTTCACTAACTATACAATAGCAACAAAGTACAGATTGTCAGTGTTGCATATTTTTAGCCATCCAAAGTGTTAATAGTTAATATTTCAACTTCATATTATAAACATTGTAAAACATTGTAGAACATACAAATTCTTTGTACTTCCTGACATGTCTACGTCTTCTAGGCACAAGAGTCGGAGTTGTACAGTTCAGTCACAAGGGGACCTTTGAGGCAATTCAGCTCAATGACGCGAACATAAACTCCATGTCTGCCTTTAAAACGGCAGTGAAGAAGCTAAATTGGATTGCTGGGGGCACCTTCACACCATCGGCTCTCGAGTTTGCTTATGAGAACGTCATCAGGAACAGCAAGAGGGCCCAAGCCAAAGTATCCGTGGTGGTGATCACAGATGGCCGCTATGACCCGAAAGACAACGAGACTCTGCTTGATTACCTTTGTGTTCACGGCGATGTTGTGGTGACTGCCATTGGGGTAGGTGATATGTTTCTAAAGAAACAGGATGATGAAATCTTGAGCTCTATAGCATGTCACAGGCGCGAACGTATCAGAGAGATGAAGAATTACGTTGACTTGGTGGCTGAGGACTTCATAGAAACAATGGAGACTGTGCTCTGCCCCGGTAAGCCTGTACCAATACACTCAACAGGATGACAAAACTGGTCCATCTTACCATTTGTCTGACCTAGAGTATGTCCATGTGATTCCCTTCCAGACCCAGTGATTGTGTGCCCTGATCTCCCCTGTAAAAGTGGTAGGTGTTAGTCATGGCTAGAATCTATATTCAGTGTTTAAATGGAGTGCAGCTAAGTGAGTGATTTTTCTGTCCTTATAGAACCTGATGTAGCTCCATGTGTCGAGCGGCCGGTGGATTTGGTGTTTCTACTAGATGGCTCAGAGCGCCTTGGGACGGCGAACTTCCAGCAAGTCCGTGAATTTGTGAAGAAGGTGGCAGACAGACTGGGACTGGCCCGGAGCAAGACTGATGGTATGCGTGCCCGCTTAGCACTACTAGAGTTCGGCAAGGAGAACGAGAACCACTTAGCCTTCCCTCTCACACATGACCCTGTCATCATCGCTGATGGCATATCACGCTTGCCTTATCTGGATTCTTCCTCTAGCGTGGGGCCTGCCATCTTTCACACCATCAACAACATCTTGGGTAGACAAAATGTTCGCAACACAAGACCCAATGCAGAGATTTCATTTGTTTTCATCACAGACGGCATCACTGGCAACAGCAACCTGGACGAGGCAGTTAGTGCAATGCGTACTGCACAGGTTGTCTCCACAGTGATAGCCACTGGAAGTGACGTTGACCAAGAAGTCCTAACAAAGCTGGCCATGGGTGACCAGAATGCAATCTTTAAAGGAAAATTTATGTCTGATCTAACCCAGTCTGGCTTATTTGACCGTTTCATCCAGTGGGTATGTTAAAGAGAGACCATGCTCATGTGGACATGAATATCATGCTGGTGCTACTGCTGTTTATCTAGCATTTTAGACACAGGATTCTAGTATGCATTGTACAATTTTCAAATGTTACTGCAACTGTATTCATCCTCAGTATTTTGTCATACAAATACATAGTACAACAAGTTGAGCATTCTTCTACCATTAAGCTTTACTGAGCAAAGATAATAAACTTGCACTTTGTTGGACACTGAAATCCTGTCTTTTGTAAAGTCCCAAATGTTACTAGTGCACATAAATCCTGACATTAAAAGCAATCACTGTATCAAACGTTAATACACATTACCATGGAATTATAACAGGACGTTCATAAAATTTACTTTGAGATTAGACATTTCAGACAAAACATATGTAAGCCCTAAACACTTTTGGTAAATGCTAAACACAAGAGTCGTCTTCTTAAAACAGTACGGGTGTAAACAACAGTTAAGTAAACACTTCTCTGTGCAGTATTGCATGTAGTTACTCAATATCACCAGTTGCAAAGTATCAGGGGTCTCCAAGCTGGAGGCAGAACAATGGACGGCTGAATTGGTTTGGTTTGGTCGGGATGAATTATAGCATTCTTCTCATTTCTCTGCATGTTCACTGCAGACACTCCCATTGCCTCCCTTCTTACATCATGTCCAGCTGCAGAGGAAGAGGAAAAAAAAAGAAGTAAGACTAGAGAGTTTATATTAGAAGTCTCAATAGCCCAGACTCATTATGAGACGCTCACTGAGACATATCCTGCGAATATGGAGGAAATAGTTTTGGTGATGTATCTCTTAACACAGATACACATACCATCACAGAAAACTCACACCAACACTTACCAAGTCATCAACATCTCCTGTGTCTTCTGCTGGTGGAGCAGCCACCTCTTCCTTCTTCTCCTCGGCAATCAGAAACTGAGCAAAAAGTAGGCTTCAGTCAGTAATATGGACGGTCTCAAAATCCCCTTAATTTAAAATATTCAGTGGCTGGTTTCTCAACAAAAATTGGAAATATCTTTTAAGTCACCTGATTAGCTTCGTTTTTGGACACGATGCTTCCTTCAACCTCGTCCTTGCTGATCAAAGTTATGGCATCTGTCGAACAGCAATAATTAACTCCACAAACAGTGAACTCCTTTAGGAGACTTGTGATTCAGGCTGCGGGGCATTTTTAAGCATCCCTCAGCTCCCATTTTTGTGTTATTTACTTATTTTGCACTAAAGAAACTATGCAAAAAATGTCATCTCATCCCAAGGGAGGAATGATTTGAGAGAGCCCAAAGTAAAGAGTGTTATCATACCTTGAACAAGCAGGTCCCAGAAGACCTCCAGCCCTCTGTTTGGGATGCTCCTTTTCAGGGACTGGAGATAGCTATTGTACAGATCAGCATTTCCCAGCTGAATTACGAAAGACATGAAACACTCAAAATCCATTTATAAGTCTCCTAAAAGCTCACATCTATATGCAGACACATAAGCACACTCTCACAAGAATTGGCCTCGGTTCAAGTCACAAGAAATGAAATAGACTCACTGTAATCTCCTCAAAATGACTCAATCTCCATGCAGTCTGATATTTTAATATAATTTCACACCAACTCTTATATGGAAACCCCCACATCATGCATTTCCCCAAATGGAAGATAGTGAATGTTTATTTACCTTAACGGACTGCTCTCTAAAAGCCTGGATACAGGTGATGCTTTTCATGTAGTACTGTGTGTTCTTGTTGCTAAGCAACTGCTCTATCCTGTGAGTCAGTTGCTGACAGGCTGGGAAGGACATAGGGGTCACCACAACCAAACAAAGAGATAAACACAATTAAAAGGGCTGAACATGAGTAAGAACTATTTATAAAAGAACTAGAAAAATGTTTATCAGTCCAGCTTGCCAAGGAAAAAGGACAGAAAAACTGGACCTCACCATCTCCAAATGGAATACTCTTCCGCTTGATCAGAGTGCGGAAGTCTCGGGCTGGATCCACGCTTCCCACCTGGTTAAGTGTTTAATATTAGTCAGGGCTAAAGTGAAATGGAAATTTTAAAGAATGCCATGTGACTTTATTTGAAATAGCAGATTTTTGGTGATAATCTCTCCCCTGATTCTCACCGAAGTAACAGAGCCTTCAGCAATGTCAGCCAGGTTATACTCCTCCTCCTCCTCTTCATCTCCTTTTACCTTCTTGGCATCCGGCTCCTCAGAGCTGTAAATCACAAAAGGGTCAGTTACAATACTGAAAATAGTTTTGTAAACTATTATTTTAGTAATCAGTAAAACTTCAGCCACACACCCCTTCAATGTTACAACAATGAAAACCAGAGACCTAGAGATGGGATCACACCAGCTGTGACACCCCTCAACATGTTGATGTTCCAAACCATGAGTGCTGAGTTGTCACTAGAACATTATTACATGAGTTCTCATGGGTCAGACCACACCCATCTTCATTTTGATCTCAACTACACATCAGTAAGGTTTAGTGACTGCACCTTGTACGGCTGTTATGTTATCACATTGACAAAATCTGTCCACAGATAGAGCAGACATAAAATCCTGCCAAAAACCGCCTCCGACTACGACTAGCTGTGGAGAGGCTGACCCAGCGACGTGGGGCTCTCTCAGTTGTCTGACTAATGCTCATTGGGTTTTTTGAAAATAGAGATTTTCAGAGTGAAGTGGCAATTTTTGGTGCGTTTCAATGGAAAATCTAATACATTACAAAAATGCCTTAGTGAGATGAGAAAAGTAGCATTGGTTGCTGGGTAACAGACATTAAAGTTGGTGACTGATGTTGGATGGAGTATTTAGGATTACCTAAAATAAGATAGGAGTTAAGGATTTCTAACGTTAGTTAGGATTTGCTTCTGTAATACAAACTGGGAAAAATACTATCTTATACTCTTCCATTCTTAACTTAAGACTTAAGATAGGACGTTTCTATAATATGGCCACAGGACCACATTTGCCATGATGACACACACACACACACGCACACACGCACACACACACACACACACACACACACACACACACACACACACACACACACACTACTAGTCAAGTTGCAGGCGATATGGTCACAATCGTACCTTCTATTCCTGAGTTACAGCGTTGAATAACGTCCAGTTTGTGTAGAACTTTATGATGTCACTGTGAAGTTTACCTTTGAACTTTTAGATATAAAGTGTTCAAACAGACATTTTATATCCAAACAGTTATGGCCAAACCAGAATGGCCAACCCTGGCCATTGACCATCAAATTTTAATCAGGTCCAAGTCAACGTTTGTGCCAAATTTGAGGAAATTCCCTGAAGGTGTTACCAAGATATCGCGCTCACAAGAATGTGACAGACGGACAGATGGACAAACCAAAAACGTAATGCCTCCGTGCGGGCAATACCAGCCACGCTGTCACCACTGGTAAACATGACAAACAGCCTCGTCTGTGACATTTAAAGACCCACCACCATACTCAATCAAACTTACTCTTTGCCAAAAATCTGAGCACTTGTCTTCAACTTCTTTTTCTTCTCCACTTCTGTTAGAGTAAACTTCCTCTTCATCTCCTCTAGTGGAGCTCGGCAACGTTCATTAATGACCTCAGGGCACTCAAGAGCAGCCTTCAGCCACGGCTCCATGGGGGGAAGGGGGGTACCGGGGTTTACTGCTCGATGATGCAGACACTGAAAGAAAGGTTGAGTAAAGAAGGCGAGACAGATGGTGACTGAGAGAGATGCAATTCTGGTTGGGTATCAACAGCCGCTTGCTGATGAAGCTCTATTCAGGCAGATGAAAGCTTTTTCCATCTGTCTCACTTTTGCCATCTGCCCCAACTCAGATTAGGAGTGTCGTATATCTGAAATACAAAATGTACTGCAGTACCTGGAAGTGTCTCTGGAAGGCAGGGTTTGGAATGTGATGGACCTTGAACATGTCCTTTTGTTCTCCATTCTCATCTTCCTCCACCAACATCATGGAGTCAATCAGAGAGTCCACAGCAGACAGCTGAGTGTCTGGGGAAATCACATGTTACTCAACACTACATTCAAGTCTATTCCCCCATTGATGCATATCACAAAAAAGCCCTGCAAATAAAATGATCAATTTATGAAAAATATATTATTTATTATTAAACTACCCAACAGCATATAAAGTCAGTGAATCAGTGCTATTCCAATACATGTATAAATATACCACTCTGAATGAAGCCATTTTACATTTTAGTACTTTAAATTTTGATACTTAAAAGTACATGTTCCTGCCAATACTTCTGTACATTTATGTCAGGAAGACTTAGAATGCAGGGCTTTTATTTGCAATCGAATATTTTGGATATTGGTACTTTTACTTCAATAAAATATCACAATAACTTCTTCCACCAGTGGCAGTCAGTATCAGTCATGAAGATCTGAATCTGTGCCAGATGTAGATGTAACAGCAGCTGCATATAGGCATGCCGACGTGTGCCACCTACAGGCAGCAAGAGTGGAGGTGCAGTGCTAAAACTGCAGCAGCTTTTATTTTCTGCACCTGTAGGAGGCAACATGGACATGTTTACATCCGCAGGCCTAAGCAGGAGGATTAGTCCGACACAGAAAAGACTCCTGTGGCAAAGAATCTGCTGCATGTTAAACATGAATGTGCAAGTTTGTGCGTGAATTACGGGCCCCATTCCATGAGGTGCTTCAGATTTAGAAAGAACTTACATAACGTCAGCTGTGAGGATGAACCAGAGCTTGTACCACACGAGTGAAATTTTTTAACTAAGTTCAATACTGTCAGTGCTTTTGAAGCAACAAGAGTTAATACTTTGAATAAACATGACATGCAGAAACCGTACCTGATGGAGTTAACTTTTTGTTGTTTTCAAGAGAAGGAAATGTGAATTGTCTGAGGTCTTCTGTGAAGGGCAGCTGGACGTACATTAGACACTATGGAGGGCGAGAGATGGGCCGTCACCTCTGTACCATTTCAAAAAGGTTGAGCGAATAAACTTGAAAACAGCATGTTTAGGACTCTATTATCTCACCTCATAGTCCTGCTTGATACAAGGGAAAGCTGCTCCGACTTGAGGGTTGCTGCGTCGGTCATACGCATAACGGACAATGGCCACCATTTTGAGCTCATCCAATGCCCGGATGACAGCGGACAGTGCTACTCCTGCATGCTGCTCAGACACAAGCATGTCAGTATCAATGTATGTATATGTGGGACACAAGCAGTGTATCCGGTTCACTCTATTCTCACCTCATCGTCCCTGGCAGCAAACATCTTGATGACCTGACTTCCCATGAACTGATGACGATGTACCTGTAAGCAGACAGTAAAAAGAAACGCAAAGTTGTTTTACTTGAATGCCTTTTAGATGTCACATTTAATCACACTGTCATAAAAACTACAATACCATGCTTTGTTTGGTAAAGCCCAGAACAGCAAAGCACTTCCCATCGTGCTTGTATTTCATCTGCTCTTGATCTACTTTGGAGAAGGGAACAATGTCACTTCCATAACGAAAACCTGGGAATGGAGAAAAAGTGGACTTAAATGATGAATGAATGAATGAATGGTGCTGAGGGGTAAACACTGATTTCAAACCACTTCTTCACCTTGAATGGTATCATCCTTTTGCACCTCTGTCTCGTTGTCATCATCCAGACAGTAGACAGTCTCTCTCTTCACGTCCTCTTTCATGGTGGTTTGAGCCTCAACTGTAATCCACATCTTCTTCAGCTTCTCCTCTGTCACCTGTTGGACATAACGGGTAGTATTTGTGGCAGACGAAAGCTTCTGGTTTCCTTAGCAATGCTATGTGACTATTATTGATGATCTATGTTCTGTGTAAATTTGTCTAGTTGTTTGTAGTGACGGAGCAGCTTAAAGGCTTAAAAACTACAGTGTTATGACTACACGTGGATATGCAGTCCCTAATTCAGACAGGACAGGATTCAGCACTTGCTCACCAGCCAATGACAACTGACCATTCAATAAAGCTGTTGTGGTAAGTGCACTTCACAGTCAACTTACAGCTTTATACCCAACAACACGTATGGACAGAGAGCTGCCAATCGTCAGCTGACAGGGCCAGGCCATGGGTCTCCTCTCAATCCGCTTGAACATGCACAGCTGCTCGATTGCATTCCTACAGCAGGAGTGAAGTGCAAGGAAAGCAAAGTTTATGGCGTTAACTACTTTTGAATGTAAAACGAAATCCAAAGGCAAACAAGAAAAAAAAGTTGAAGTTAGACATGAAATTAATCATCCGGTGTTTAATAAGAGCCCTCCAACCTGAATGTATAAATTTGATCCAGACCGTCCTCCTCATCCAGACTTAGCAACATGTGTTTCATCATGTCCAGGCCCTGCCTCTGTTCCCCAGATAGACCTTTGCCTGTCCCTGGGTGACTGTGGCCCCTTCCATTTGCATCCCCTCCACCCTCCTCATCCTCCTCCACAGGGAACGGCAAACTGCTCATGTAAACATTCAAGAAGTTGCATAAAGAATCATAAAAGTGACCAAATGTCAGGAAACTAGCCAGATCAGTTTAACATCAAAAAAGCTTTGATAAGAACACATTTTATCCACAGTGACTTCTGACAAGTGCACAATAAGTGTTAAGTGAATCAAGACAAAGGTACCTGAGTTTGAAGATATGCAGAAAAAAATAAAATAAAATGTACATTATTTTTTCAAGCAAAAAATGAATCAAATATTGTTAAAATGTCAGCTACCAGCAGAATAAACTATAGCTCTCAAATAGCCTGATTTTGTTGCTGTATCACATATAGCAATAAATATTAGTTTTTAAATTACACATTGTTAAAATGCTTGAACCTTACAAGAACTGCAAGGTGATGCCAGCATGTTTAAGGTTGTCAATAATAACATCCAGCTGGTCTGAACTGGCCTGGGTGCTGAGGTCAGTCAGGAGGGCAATGTTGAGACGATTGTACTTCTTCCCACTGAAAAGAAATCCCAAACACAATCTCAGCCACACCACTGAACAACCAGTAATTTATTCAGCACAGTGAAGCTGGTTATGAGATACAGGCAACATCTTACCTGGTTGCTGTCTGAAGGAGATCCATGCAGACAACAAGCGCATCCAGCCCTATTGAATAGTGGTTAGGGAGCTAACATTATATTACATATCATCTGGCAACATGAGGCTCTGTGCGGTACCTGTTACACTTCGCACTGGGCCTACAGATAATTTCATAGTCAAAATTTGGGAAACTAAAGCAAACTTTTTTTGATTCATCTAGTAAATTTACAGGAATTAGATCACACATATTAAGACTCACTGTCAAAAATAGGCACAAATGCACTTAAAATTTGCTGTCCAGTCAAATGTTTATAGGTTGTCCACTTTAGCTTGGAGCTTTTGACTGATGGGACCAAAGAGCTGTACTTAGGTCATGTAAAGTATTGACACTTGAGCAAGTTCTACTTGCTGAGTAAGGCCGTGGAATCGCTAGAAAAGTGGACTTTGCATTTAAATTATTTACCACAGATAAGAATAAATTCCCATTCTCATGTTGTTTTTGTTGGAAATATTCCACAGACATCAAAGCCCACACACATCCTTGATCTACCCACACTGGTATTTTCAATTACTGCGCCTATACAGACATCTACTCAGGTCTATTTGGATATGTACGGCTCATTTGGGCATATAAATGGAGCAGAGTAATCAGTAAATTGTTAATTACACCTGTGCTTTTCTTGCTATGACAAGTTGCCTGCAGTGAAAAGGTTCACTGAGGGGCTTTCAGCAAGCCCTTTGTTATTACAACAGGTGTGAAGTAAAAAGAAAAATCCCTGGAAGTTATGTAGCATAGCATGAAGTGAATGATATCTATAAAAGCCTCTATCTTAGAACATGTAAATTAATATCACAATGTCAATATTTATTGTAATGTAATACATCTTCTGAAAAAACTAACCCAGCTGAACTAACAACCCAACAGGTGTGTTTGTTTTGGCTGATTCAGAAAATTAAATATCTCACAAAACAAGATCACATTGGTGTAAAATCACAAAATCACAAACAATAAGCACCTCATGGTGAGTCTGGTTAAAGTCAGCTCGTAACACCAATCAATGCTGCCTGAGAATGAAGATTGTTATTTGTATCTGCATATAACTAATTCTTCCACTGCGGCATTCAGTTTGTTACATTAAATTAAATTTCAAGCCTATATACCTTAAAAAACAGATTTTTTTTTAAACGTATCCAAAATTTCAAGCAAAAGGATACAATCCACCTGCTGACTCTCTGGCTGGATCTGATTCTCAATTTCCTCCAGTAGGTCAAAATCTGGTATCATTAGGTTGCGGTGGACGGTGATGTTCTGGTACTGGCCGTCCCGGGCCAGAGGGTTTTTGGTGGAATCGGTGCCAAGAAGAACTAAAGCCAGTTCATCCTTAGTCTCAGCAAAAACCTGTCAGAAGACAAAATACATGTCCAGTGTGCATAAAAGATGACAGACACTTCTCATGATAGTAGTTTTGATGTGTTCATTGTTATGAAAAATGTATAAAATGGATAAATGGATAAATGGATAAATGTACCTGACGCTGGACAAACTTCTGGATGACTTTTTTGGCGAGTTCAAAGGGAGGCTCTTCACCCGGGGCAGAGTTGGACATGGAGAACCCCACATCCATGCACAACACCAGCGCTGACTACAGAGAATAAACAACACATTAATACAGTTTAGGTTTTAATTCGAGGCGACTTGTTTGGTTCAGCACATTAGAGGTGACATAGACAAGCAGATGTTTTAATTTTTGTGTTATTTTGAGGCCAATTGTTCCCATGTTGTCACAGCTACTAGAGACTGAGTTTGTATTCATTCAACATGGGGCGTGTCAATCAGTTTCAACATGTCTCAACATGTTCACTCGTCTGAAATTTGTGACAACTACCTATTCAACAAAGAAACGTTACTGAACACTAACGCTGTTTGTGGTGATTATTTAATCAGTTTCATTTCTAAAAATTTAAAACAAGGTAACTTACTTTAGCCCCTGCCATCTTTCTTTTTCCCTCCTGTGTCACTCTGTTATGGCTCCGGAGAGAAACTGTGACCGGTTCAAAAGAGGATCGGTAAGAATTGTTCCGCAGTTGTCTCAACGAGCTTCGCACGGATCTATACGATCGGCTGCCCACCGTAGTTTAGGATATACCTGCTCACCAAAACCATGGATGTGTTAGTGGAGCCGTGGCCAGCTGTGATAATGATATTGTTATTCGTGGTCTTGTTGAGCTTATGAAGTGCCATAAGATATAGGTCAAACGCCCCCTAGCGTTTCACATAGCACTGTGCACAGAGTGAAATTATAAATGATGCAAATCGACTAGCGGCTAATTTCCGGCCTGTTGCCAGGATTTCAGGAATATTGAGGTCAAATAAAAATACTCATAATTAAGTAAATGAATAAAAACATAATATCCATAGAATAAAACTGTTTAATAAATTGGATTTTCCATTTCTATTAATTTATTTTATAAATGTTCTTTCCCTACATAAAGATGGGAAAATAAGGTCGGTACATAAACTTTCTCCACACTCCAATAAAATTCTTGAGGGGAAATACTAAAACCTAAAATTTCCAGAAAAATTACAGAGGTCATGGACCACACCTCACCGTCTTCAGTTGTATAGTAGTCATGGTCTGGTCTCATTTGTGCAGATTTGACACAGAGTAAGTTGTGTGTTTTAACTTTTAATTGTTTTAACATTAGTGTAACAAAATCTGAGGGTAAAACGGGACAGTACAAGTTGGTAAGGATGTATTGGCCCTAACATTTTTAGTAGACTACTGAGCTTGCACTGGGACATATGGATTTTCTTCAGTAGGCATAATCAGATCTCAAAGCACACATAACTATGGAGCATACAATGCAGAGATATATGCTGACTTTTCCCATTAATTGTGAGTGTATGTAACCACCAGAAACAGTGACCTGCTGTGCATTGTTCTGTGACATGAAACAAAATGTTGTTTTCCACAATATAAATTAAAAAATTAGCACATAGTTGCAATGTAATAATACACTTTATTTAATTTGTCTTTACTTTGCATCCTGTGGATTCACATGTAATGTGGAATACAGATTCAACCCACAACCACTGATTCATGTCTTTACCTGTGAGAAAGTAAAATGAAGTTACTTTACCCAATCAGGTCTAAACATAAACATTTGAATCAATAAATAACCCCGATCTGCTATGTATTTCAATCAGTTAATGACTGCTGTTTGCAATACATTTATTTCAAAGTGTACTCTACTTAAATATTTAAAATAAATTAAAGCAACATTCAAAATATGACTGTATGGAAATGTAACAGGAATTCTCCAGTACAAAATTACAGAGAACTTTACTCGTGCATGGACCAAAATTGAGAAGACAAGATCACAGACTTGTTTTTATGGTGGTGTCTAAAACATATAAAAAAACATGGCAAAACAAACATAAACTGACCAAAGAAATGTCTGATTCGTCAGCTTGTCCTGACTATGGCTTCTAATCATGGCTAAACTAACTCCCTAGTGCCCCTGTGGAAACATGAGTTGTTGTCCTACCTCCTTTCCTCCCACAGTCTTTGCACATTGTTTATGCACTCTGTCAGCTCCAAGTACCCTTCAAGTACAGAGCACACAACCCACGACAAATGGAATCTTAATTATAATGAGCCAAGAGGTCCAGAAACCAATAAGCACTCACTCACTAGGACACTTCCTGCCCCCATGTTTGATGTGTTTCAGTTTGTTTGGGAAAATTTGATGAAACACAAACCCATAAAGGAATATGCACCATGTAAGTCTAATATGATATTTTATAGGATCACATTCTAGATTTTTTCTTGTTGTCAACAAATCCTATGAAAAGTCAAAAATTAACAATGGAGTCATTGGTTCCTTCATTACCATGACTGACACACATTAAACCTGGATTTGTTGCCCCTGAGGCAGTTGCCCAATTTTCCTAGTTATTCCATCTTTGCTTAAACTATAACTTGATTGATTATGATAACTTCATATACAAGACGGTGTTGCCTTTGAAATGCATGCTGTTTTTGATGTCAGTGCACAGCACAGTGACCACATACATTTAATTACAGATATTTACAGATGAAGTGAAACTTGATTGAACTTGCAGGACTAATGTTTGTATCAGTGTCCACAGCCACTTAATGAAAACTGCAGGAATCAAGGTCTATATGTATAAAAAGGTCTTTGAGTCGCAGTGCTGTTCCGTAATTATTGGAGGCCATTTAGTGATCTGAGGGGGGCTGTGATGACCACAACCTGTAAGTAAAAAATGACCCAAAATAACCACTTCCCTGCTCAGAGTTCAATGTTTTACAACTTTGTAATAATGGTTCCTCCCCTTAGGCCAGTTCAGGCAGTGTTTCATATGCTGTCATTTACAGAAGAGCATAGTGGAATTGCTTAAAAATACTTTCCTGTTATTTTGACGAGAAATTCCTATCAAAAATTCCTTAGAATTTGTTTCTTCTAGAGCTTTCAGCAAAATCTCAAGGCCTTCATCAGCAGATGAAGTTTGCTCAATAAGTCAAGTAAGTGGACCTTGAGATAGAGTTTTCATCACACTAGACCCAAGGTCAGAAATGAACCTTTAAGATGAATTTTCTGTGAGGAATCTCAATGAAATGATTAAAAACACTTGCAACTTTGACCCCATTATCAATGTGTGCCTTGGAACTCAGCATCACCCTGTTTCACACTGATGATGTCTGTGCAAGTTCACTGGGGGCCTTGCTCTGCAGAGTTCCAGAAACAGTGTCAGAGTCCAGAAGCTCCACTATGCTATAGGGAGAACAATCCTCCAGCCCCAGCTTCCCACAGGCCCAGCCACAGAAGCCTTTCTCCAGGTCTCGCACCGCCTGCCACCACTCGCTGAAAGCCCAGGACACCTGCACCACAGCAGAGTACAGAGCCAGAGACAGCGCCATGGGCATGATGAGCATGGGGTAGAAGATGATAAGGAAGGGGCATATTGTAATCTTGTGCCAGAACGTCCGCTCTTCATTGTACACCAGGAAGACATTGTACCAGGTGAGAGTGCCATAGTAGAAGGAGGTGATGAAGGAGAGGAGGAAAATCACAGGTGCGCAAGAGATGCTCCACAGGACAACATGGGGTCCCTGGCACACACCTAAGCTGCAGGTGCGTTTAGAACCATCCCGTGCCTCGCACTCGGCATCAAGACGTTCCTTTGACTTGGCCAGATCCCTGAGTTCCTTCTCTGTCAAAGTGACATGTATGTCCACCACCTGACCCTTCTTCTTGCCACGGGTGATGGTGCCTGTCAGGGTCACGTAACGGCTGTCTGGAGGAAGGCTCCATCCTCCACCTGTTAAGAGATAACATGATATAAGAATTTACCCATGTGACAAATAACAAAGACAAGCTTCCCTTCATTTGTGCATCCTATTTATTGGGAGCTAAACTACAATAAACCACAGTAGGACCATAGACACTATGCGATATTGAGCCCGCAGCACTCCAAAAAGTCTATTTGGTGTACCTTAGTGTAGACATGTGGCTAAGTGAGATTAATTTGTGTGTTATTTTTATTCAAAAGTATTTTATGTCATACCGTCCCATCATTGTCATGGCCCCATTTAAGTACAAAACATCACAATAATCCTTAGTTTTGCTCACATAAACTTGATTTGCATGGTAAAAATTGCTTGTCATATGTCGAACACATGACTGAGCTGTTAAACTAAGACACCCTTTCCTTCAGGAATAATAGCTGTAATCTGGCCTTGTGATTTTAACAGAATATGCCACCCCACTCACCTTCACCTGTGGGCGTGCAGAGGAATTTAGCTCCCTCCTCAGTGCTCCTCTCCGCTCCCTCCTCACTGCCTTGGTCCTCTCCAGGCGCCCTCTCCATTTCAGAGCGGTAGATAATAATGGACTCTGGACGCATGTCTTTCTTCTTCCTCCTCTTCCTCCTTATGGAGGGCCCCACTTCTCCATCGTCCACATGATTCCCTGATGTGTCCGATCGTAAGGAAATCATCTGGGGGCTGCCCTCTCCTTCTGTCTGAGGCTCCTCTACCTGTGCCATGCTCTCACCTGATGCAGTAAACTCTTTGACTCTTAGACGTTTTGATGGGTTATATATGGACACTAGTGAAATCTGGAGCAGCACAAACTATGTCCACCCATTGTGTTCAAGTTTTCAATCTAATAAAGATTTCCAGCTGAATGCACAGTGATAAGAGCACACACACACAAACAAAGAGTAAGAGAGAGAGAGAGAGAGCAGAGAGAGAGAGAGAGAGAGAGAGAGAGAGAGAGAGAGAGAGGATGCCATTAAAAGCAGGTTTGTTTTTTACAGTCACAATAATCCTGTATGTACAGTGGTCCTGGCCTAGATTCTGCACAGTCGCCTAGTCTGTGATGATGACCAATAACATCTACCAAATGTCATAATCACTGATGTAATGGCATTTAAGTACCTGAAAAGACCAAATCACAAAGCATGATATATTTGCTCAAAACAGGAGGGGGGAGGGTGTCTCTCTTTTGCATGACAGCGCACCGATACTCTCAGTAGAAACGCTCCGACCTCAGTCCGTGCACATCATCCCATCCTCCTCTTTACAGAAATGATAGAATGACTACACCATTCATAAACGGATTGTGGAGCTTTTCCCCAAAGAATGTATTATATGATAAGATCAGAGACGAGGGGGTAAAATCGACAAAGCAACCCATTCTTCGCACAGCTGATCCCCTCCCATTTAAATCCCACCCATGTCCGCTCTTTGTCTGCAGACGCCAGCCGGCGAACAACATGTACTGAAACTAGAGCTGAAAATAAAATGTAATCTTACCTTCAACAGACTGGACGAGCCGCGGATAGATAAACAATGCCGTGTGAGGACAGATCACTGAATTAGTATGACACATTGCAGCAGCCCATGCATCATAGCGCTGCTTTTGCTGATACAGATGCGCTACGCAAAATGATTTCCAGAATAGCACTAAACCCGCCCCTCTAACCTCTGTCACACCAGTCCTATGACCAATCCCCACCATCCCTGATCCCACTGCTGTCATGTGAACATGGAAATATGATGGGGGGTGGAAACCCACCATGTCTACTGATGGCACGTTATCATTCCCAGAGAATGGCGACCTATCTAAGCAACACATTTTAACTTAAAAAGAAATCATATAATCATAGATGAAGTTTACATTTTTCTACATTGAATAGGCTAAGGCATGAGCATCTATTGCCTCAGTTGAATAAATCTTTATGGCCATGATTTTTAATTTAAATAAATTATGTTAAACATTGCACTATTTATATGGGCTAATAGCACCATATGATTTCTATACACTTAATTGAATACATGCACAAATACATAAGCATTGTATACAAAAATCATTGTAAGCAAGGTTATAAATGTTCAAGTATAAGTGTTCACTAGCTTTCATGTAAGACAAAATAAACAAATTGTTAATCATTCAGTTGTTTGTACAGACAGGGTCGTGTTTGACCATCAACTATTGTGAACAGCTGACAAACGTTTGCCAAATTTAATATACAAGTTAAGACAGTAATACTACTAGCTGATGTCAGAATTACCAAACTGTGGAAAGTGCAACTAAATTACATTTAAAAGATCATGGTAACTTACATCTCTTAATTAAAATAACTTACAAATGAATACCGCGTCCTTCCACGCATAACTGAGAAGACTAAAATTCATTAAGTCCTTTTCTGTTGAACGGGCGTTGAACTGTTGCTACTAACGTCTGGACGGTTGACAGCAACAGTAGCTTGTTTTACAGTTGAGAGAGGAGTCGGCTAACGTTGGTGTAAAAATGAACGACGAATATGCACTTAATAATATCGACAGCCTCCTCTTTAAGTTAGGTATGTTGTGTTTTTGAGCTTATTGTAGGCTAATAGTTGTACTTTTCTTGAAATTCCATGTTTGTAATGATTTACCGTTTGCTAACTTGGCTGCTTGGCTAAGTGATGTCAGTAGCAAGCTAGCTACTGACAACCTAAGTCAATTCAAGTGAGCAACTCCATAAGATAGCACTTTTAAGATATAGGTAACTGTTTTGTTTTTTATAGCTCTTCAAACTCGGGAACTTTCCCAAAAGAAGAATGATATCAGCCAACGAATTAAAGGTATGCCAAAATAAAAATTAGCCATTTGTATGAAAGACTGGCTTTAATATTGAAACAACATACTAGCCTAAAGGAAGACATTGAACAAGTTAGCTCTATGATGGAGACCTTTTCTTTTCTTTTTTTTTTATTAATATCATAGCATTTTTGTCATGTAAAATCGTGTCCCTTAAGTGTTTATTTGTTTGTCAACAGTTTGTAGTGCTGACATTGCTCAGAAGAGGTCTTGCACTGAAACACTCCACAGAAATATCAAGAAACTTGAGGAAGAAATCAGGGTGAAGCAGAGCACTGTGGCACATAGTAAAGCAAATGCAAAAAGGTATGATGACTAGGCCAAGCCATGATTTACCAAGGTGACACATAATCTAATTGTACACATTAACATAAATAGTGCTGTATAGTATGGATATTCATATATTGCTACTTGTCATCCATGTAACTTCAGCATGAAGGCCACTAAGAGCCTGCTCCTTCAGTATGAACAAACACTGAAAGCTGAACTTGAGAGCAGAAAAGCCAACTACAACCATGACATGTGGGTCCACTTACCTATTGTGTGTAACTATGTTTAATACATCTTTTGTGTGTTCTAATAAACAAAATTCAATTGTTCTTAATTTTAACCCAACAAGGGGAGTCTATGAAGAGAGGATTGCAAGCTACAAAAAGATATTCCAGTCTCATAAAGAATATTATTGCCAAAATCCTCTGGCTCAAAAGCTCATCAGGCTGCAGGCTGAAAAAGAGGAGATTGAGTGCAGGATCAAGGCCTGTGATGGTCAAATTATAATGAAACAGACGGAGCTGGACCATCTCATTGGTAATAAACTTTTTATGCATAACAAGTTGTGATTAAATATTTACAGCTCTTTATGCAGTTGATTTCTGTCTGACTAGGTCCAGCAGGCAATTCTTCTACCGAGAAACTACCAGATAGGTATCTTTCTGTAAATCTTATAGATAACAAAGAATAATGACACATATCCTCTGGCAAAACATAGTTTTTCTCTGATTGATTCTGATTTCTTTCTAGTGTTTCTGGGCCCATCAATGAATCAGAGAAACAATTCGATCCACAGACAGAGGAGGACAGTGATTCTGCTGTCGACATCTCTCTTCATCTCAACCAAGCGAAGGTACTTGGCTGTCCAAAGTCCAGATATATAAAATTCAGTTCTATGCCAATTGTAAACACCGTTTATGCAAAATGAAAACTAAGTCGAAGCTGTTCGTTCTTAAAAGCATCATATTATAAGTAGCCAAACAATTAAATGTGAACAAATGTTGCAGAATGGTCAAAAAGTATCTGTAGAGGCAAATGCTAGAGATATTCATGAGGAACAAAAGGTTCAGGATGCTACCGCCTGTGGTCCTGACCCCGAAGAAGCAAGCAATGAGTTGTGGTCATATGAACAGTTGGATGGTAAGTGGAGAAAAGTCTCATATGCATTTCAGTGAATGCCAACACCTTTACACACAATGTTCCTTATGTTTTGGTGTTTATGTTACACAAAACCTAATCAGTGAAATATTTATTTCTTCAGAGCAAAGTTGGCCAGATGGGATGCATGCAAATGAGCAGGAAAAGGAAACAGAACTACAGGGCCAAGCCATGGTAATGCTCATCTACTGTACAAGATTACCTTAAAATGGCTTCTTACTGCTGGTATCTTGCCAGAGTATATCTTTCAGATACTCTCCACTACTGAACCATACTGTATCCACCCTGAAAAAAAGGAGATGAAAGTACTTTTATTTAAGGACCCTCCACTTATATAAGTTCATAAGATCACTTTACTTATCAAAATGAGTACAGCCCAGCTTGTATTTTGTATTGTCTTATGTGGCTCTGGAGGAAGATTTCTGTAGTCTATGAAAGTAACCTTGATGACATCTTCAGAGTTACTTTGGCTCAAGTGTCAATGTTATCAGTTTTCATTGACATCTATTTTCCTTCAAATTATGACTCCCACTGTATCCCTGGAATCCTGAGTAACCAATTACATTGTGTGTATAAAAGGATTAATTTTTCACATGTATTTTTTTCATTAAATTATGTAACTAAAATGTGTTTTATCAGATTGTATCAAATACTGGCATTATATATACATACTGCAAATGCCATTTTATAGGTTTCTGTCTTCCTGTAGGAAACGCTTTTTCACTCATTTCTGCATAGGAACAACAATCTACTGTGTCACAGGTGGAGGATGCAGTGGAGGACAAGGTGGAGGAAGAAATAGGTACAAATGAAGATCAAACACCAGGTGAAGAGGACAATGAAGGACTCACTGCTTTTCTTCAGTCATCTCAAGAAACTAATCAGCCCTCCCCAGCAAAAATGACAGCTGCACCTTCAACTCCAACATTCCCATTTAAGTAAGGTTTTGTCTAAGTTGTCCAACACTTCATATCCCTGCAAAGACAGCTACTGAGAGCTATGTTTCATGTGTTCACTTCAGCTTCAGCCCTACCAGCTCCCCACATCAAAGGACCTCTGATACCAAATCTCCAGCTTTCCTGTTCTCTCTGAACTCTGATCCTAGCACCCCAGGCTTCTCTGGATTTGGATTTGACGAGGGCACATCACAGGATGAAGTGAGTAGCTAGCAAAAGGAATAAACGATTTGACCGAAATCAATGTTTCTTAGTTTTTTGAATTACCTCCAGGTTTCTTTGCAGGACACATCTTTTGCTTTCACCAACCCTTTTTTCAGCCAGAAGGTACTGCCTTTTTTACTGGAAACTCTCATTTTTCATACAGTACTCGAACTAGAACAAAAATACAAAACTCTGTTCTACTCTTTTCAGAAAACCACAGAATCAAAGTCTTCTCACTGTAAGTACCAAATCAAATCTATATTTGTGATGTGTGTTACTTGCTTTGAACTACATTTGTGTAAATGATTTTGCAGGTGCTGAGTTTCTGTTTGACCAATCTGAGCAAAGTGAAGACTTTCAGTTTGCCTTCACCTCCAAAAGCCCTCAGACAACTAACAAAGATAAGACCATGGGAGAATTTCCATTTTCGTTCAACTTTTGAGAGTTATAAGAAAACATCCAGTTCAGACGAGTTCCTAGCTTATTAACTTCAGTAATGTTCTCATTTAGTGGGCAATGAAAAATTCTCAGGGTAAAAGTTCATTATTTAACACCATTATAAAATTTATAAGACTTAATCAGTTAAGCGAAATTTGCCAGATGTGAATAGCATTTTTAATTTTTATTCTGTTCAGTGGTTGCTATTTATTTATCTGTTTAACCTAACTTAGTTTATTTCAAAAACTATTCACATTACAATGAACATATTTTTAACAGTGTCATAGTTGGATAATATTTTATTAAAGACAGATATGGCATCGGTATCAAAAATAATACACAAGTCCATATTTCTTTACAGTGTAATAAACTGCTTATTTTGTGATTTGCTGTTCAGTTTGCATCAATGAATGACAGGCAGTGATTCAGTTCTACATAGTGTATAAATAAAATGAAATTAATACCTCACTGCTCCCATGAGCCATTTAGTATTTTGTCTGTGAAGTTGGGATTTCTTTTGTATGTGATTTTAATAGCAAACCACAACACATACAGTTTGCTTTATATAATACATATAGTCGTAAATTAATAAAATTTTAGCTTCGTGGCACACCTGGCTGTGATTTGACAATACAAAGACTTGCTTGGAACAAGGGATAGCAAAATGTTCTGTATTTTAAAGCCTCATTCAATAAATGAATACTTGCAGTACACTTTAACATTATTTACAATACTGTAGCTACTATG